GCTGGCAGCTCGCGGGCGGCTGCACAGGCGGCTCAGGGACGGCGGCGCGGGCGGCTCAGGGACGGCGGGTGCACGGGAGGCTCGGCGGGCGGCGTACAGGCAGCTCACGGGCGGCTGCGACGGGCGGCGCTCAGGCGTCAGGGCGGGCGGCCGTAAGGGCGAAAGGGCGGGCGGCGCTCGGGCGCTAGGGCGAGCGGCGCACGGGTGCTAGGGCGGGCGGCCGGCCGTCAGGGCGCTAGGGCGGGCGGCCGTCAGGGCGCTAGGGCGGGCTGCGCTCGGGCGCTAGGGCGGGCGGCCGTCAGGGCGCTAGGGCGGGCGGCCGTCAGGGCGCTAGGGCGAGCGGCGCACGGGCGCTAGGGCGGGCGGCCGTCAGGGCGCTAGGGCGGGCGGCGCTCGGGCGCTAGGGCGGGCGGCGCTCGGGCGCTAGGACGGGCGGCCGTCAGGGCGCTAGGGCGGGCGGCCGTCAGGGCGCTAGGGCGGGCGACGTTCGGGCGCTAGAGCGGGCGGCCGTCAGGGCACTAGGGCGGGCGGCCGTCAGGGCGCAAGGGCGGCGGCGCTCGGGCGCTAGGGCGGGCGGCCGTCAGAGGAGGGAGCGGCGGGAGCGCGACGGTAGGGGCGACACGCAGGGTCGCTAAAAAAAAGAACGCGCGCCTCGGGGCGCGCTTCGGTGGGCCCTAGGAACAGTCCCTAGGAGGGGACCTGCTCTGATTCCATGAGAAGAATTGAACGAGAATGGAATGACTATGAACGAAGTGAGTACAAATAGGAAACCCTGATTGGGTTGTACCCCTTATGGGATACCCCACTATAGCCTACAGAAACAAGTAAGCTATATGTTCTGACAGCAGAGACATCATCGGCAGCAGCAGAGACAACATCGGCAGCAGCAGAGACATCATCGGCAGCAGCAGAGACATCATCGGCAGTAGCAGGAACAACAACAGTAGCAGCAACAACGACACCAGTCCTCATTGACGAAACACCACCAACACCAGCACAACAGCTGCACCCAGCACCACGAGAAGTTCATCGTAGCGCAAACTTCACCACCAGCTTCTATTCCAACTCCGATATGTACCGACGATCACCCGGACATCGCGCCGACGAAAGCACCTGGCACGCAAGGATGGGACACCCAAGCAACACTATGTTAAACAACACAATAAGAGCAGGAGTCCTTGAAAAGGACTTGTTACTACTACTCGACGGCAGAGAACTCCAACGGGCACGAGGAACATGCCTTACCTGCCCCGAAGCCGACTTACCACATTGGCCGTTCGCTCCTCGTCACAACCCGAGCGCACCCGCATACGCACCACTAAAAAAGGTGTATCGCGACATCCTGTACAATCGGGAACCAGGACAAGTAATCTATAACCACACAATCACCTTCATCAACGCCGCCACCCGTTACGTCTGGCACCTAAACCTACCCAGCCGCGACATGGTCCTCGAAGCATTCGCTGCTTGGCTACCAGTAGCAGAGAGAGAGTCGGGCGTAAAGCTGAAAAGCTTCCAGTGAGACGGAGGAGGAGAATACACCTCTCAGCGATTCAAGTAGTACCTGGCGGAAAGGGGGATCAAGCAGCTCCTCTCTCTTCCCTACGCTCATCAGCAGCAAGGTGTAGCAGAAAGAATGAATAGGACTCTGCAGAACAGCATGCGCAAACTGCTACGTGGCATGCGGCTACCCAACCACCAGTGGCCTGCAGCAATGGACCACGCTGTCATGTTGCACAACTTGCTGTCGTCATCGTCGCTTCCGAACAACGCATCACCGCATCTGCTGTGGACAGGGAAACAGGGCAGCACAAAAATGTTACGACTGTTCGAATACATGGTACAGTATCGACCCCCAGCAGCACGAGCAGGCCAATTTTCACAACGCGCACAGTGGGGACTACACCTCGGCATCGAAAAGAATTACAACGCGTGGAAAATCTTCGACGACCACTCCTAGGAAACAGTAGCAGCACGTGACGTCATTTTCTACGAACGACTCACGCTCCAGACGTACCTTGCCAACCTGCAAGAGGACCAAGATCCCACAGGTGGTTTTCGTGGCGACCGAGCCTTCGCCTCGGCAGAAGACGAAGCTGACTGGGACGAGCAGAATGTGGACAACGCGTCAGAAGAAGCCGGACCTCTCCCGTTCTGCTCCGTCGACGTTCCCATGGACGAAGACAACCCTCGCGAAAGTGTCAACGCCGAAACCTTCTACTACTTCGCCGACAACGGTTACGTAACACCTGCAACAGCCAACACCAACGAAGCAGAACGAATAGGACCGAATTTCATACCTGATCCAGAAGCAGGAGATGAAGCAGCTTATCCCGAGGATGCAACTCTTCCCCGCTACTCACAGACTGGACTGCAGATACTCGGCCTCGTCACCGCAGTCCACGGCAACACCCTTCCTAAGGAGCCTGCGACGATTCAGCAGGCTCTGGGGGGGGGAACACAGGGAAAAATGGCGTGAAGCCATGGACAGAGAGTTAAAAGCGCTGGAGGAACGGAACACCTGGAAAGTTGTCCCCATCAACGTGGCAAGGAACAAGACCATTCTCACTGGGAAATGGGTCTTCCGCGTTAAAACAAAAGCAGACGGCACAATTGAGAAGTTCAAAGCACGCTGGGTTGTGCGTGGATTCGATCAGGAGCACGGACGGGACTTCACCGAGACATTCGCCCCGGTTAGCCGACATACCTCACTTCGAATCCTCCTCGCGATCGCCGCCATGAAGAAAAGGAAGCTACGGCAAATCGATGTCGCCAACGCGTTCCTCTACGCACCTGTCGACGCAGAAATCTTCGTGGAACTACCGCACGGTACTAACGGAGAGCCCAACCAGGTTTGCCAGCTGCTGAAATCGCTCTACGGAATCAAACAAGCCCCGCGGCTGTGGCAACAGTACCTACACGCTCGCCTCATTCGCATCAGATTCCGCCAACTACCTCATGACCAAGGAATGTACCGACTCACGAAGGGTACCAACTACATCCTGCTGATCGTCTACGTAGACGACCTACTCTACATCGGCTCCACTGACGACATCACCACCTGGTTCGAAGGGGAGTTACAGAGGGACCTCACACTCACGGTCTCCTCTACCGTCACACAGTACCTCGGCTTGAACATTCGAGAGGAAGAAGATGCGATCTACCTCAACGCCACTAAGTACGCCGACACCATCGCCAAACGCTTCACGCTCACGCCTACCACCATCTCTACGCCCTACCGCTACGCGACAGGAAACCACGAGGAAGGATCCACTCTACTCAAATCTGCCGGGATACGCGACTACCAGAGAAAGCTAGGATGCCTTCTCTTCGCAGCCGTTACCTGCCGCCCCGACCTCTCATACTCCGCAAGCCAGCTCGCCACTCATCTCAAAAGGCCTGAAGCAAAACACATGGCCGAACTCGACCGCGCTCTACACTATCTCGTCAGTACGCCAACGATCGGCCTAACATATCACAAGAACGCGACCACGCCACCTAAGCTAATCGGTTACGTCGACGCAGATCACGTGGGCGACTCCGAAAACAGACGATCACGCACCGGCTACATCTATCGCTTCGAGCCTATCGGGCCTATCTCCTGGCAATCGAGCAAGCAGGAACTAATTGCTCTCTCGTCAGCTGAAGCAGAATATATTGCACTCTGCTCAGCCACCAAGGAAGGACTCTATCTTTGCAAGCTGCTGGAAGAAGCGAAGTTAGCCGAGTTACCCAACTTTACCCTGTTCTGCGACAACCAGTCGGCAATTCGCATCGCCAACAAGAACGGTTTTGCGAACAGGACGAAACACATCGCCCTGCGATACTTCTTCGTGAAGGACGAGATCGAGAAGGAAAGGCTCGAGCTGTCATGCTGCCCCAGGTCCGAAATGGCAGCTGACTACCTGACCAAGTAGCTCGGAAAGCAGAAATTCGAATACTGCATGCTGCTGACTGGACAGAGCCACGTCAGCGACACTCCAGAAGCGAAGGGGAGTGTTGGAAACAATCGGTCCTAAGCGCCTCTGTCGTGTCGAAACACTAAAGACACAAGTGAAGCAACGCATATCGAGGCACCAGTGAGTCAACCCTCGGAAGTAGAAGCAACACCTGGAGGTTACGCGAAGGTCAAAGGTCAGCGACCTTTGACTTGACAAATGCAGCGCGACAGCAAGAACACACAACTGACTCGATATTGAGCAGTTGCCCGAGTCGCACTGTATCGAACCGCAACAGCCATCAGTAAAACAGTTATCATTCGTATCTCTTCGTATTCCTTGTAATCATATATAAAATCTTGTATCTCCTTGTTTTAATCAACTTACTTTGCCCTCACATACTAGCGCAAGGTGGTTCAGAATCTCTTTGTTAACGCTTCCGCTACTACATCATTCTACCCAGAGATTAACCCTACCAAAGATCCTAAGGGGCAATCAGCCCAACACCCACCACAGCACAGCACAACATAATAAGATATTATAAACAGGCTAGTAGACAGTGTTGAATAGTAGACAGGGGTTGTCTATTATCCGGGTGTCTCATATAAACAGGCTAGCCTCTGACATTCATCTGGGTGTCCTGCGTCAGCATGCTGCTGCTGCTGCTGACTTCCAGGAAGCACCCGGGTGCTCCAGGGTGCTTGGTTGCTGCAGTCGTGCTGTCGCACGACCCACTCTGTGTCGCTGCAATTGTTGCCAAAGACAGCAAAGAGACATTGAGAGTAAGGAGGTGAGGGAACATAAAGAGGAGAAGGAGCAACACAAGGGCTAGGATGAAGGGAGACGGGTAGGTAAGCCACGTGACGTGAGCCTGGGCAAGAAACGCAGGCGATATTGAACAACCAGCACCCAACGGGAGTTCGGAAGCACTAGAGTAAGCTGTACTCACTCATTGCATTGCTGCTGCTGCAACCACTGCAGCTCCCATTGACGCTGCCACCACTGCCAAGGCTGCCGCCCATGCTGCTGGGTCGGATAAACGGTGTGGCCCTTCACTGCTGTTCACCCCTCCACTGCTGCTGCAGGAACCACCGCTGCTGGCACCACTGCTGCTGCTGCCTCCGCAGCAGCCCATAGTACTGGCTCTGAATAGAAATTGCTGCTCTTCTGGCAATGAAAGAAAAGGGAGCAAAGAAGAAGAGAGGGCAGAATAGGAGGGCTTTGAGAGGAAAGCAGAGTGGCATGATTAACTGGAACACAGCAGCAAAGGTAAAACATAACAGAAAGCATGAAAACGGGGGATGCACAAGTGGTATTCTAATCCACTCACAGCTTGTGTTCTTGCCATAATCCTGCAGTTGCCCTGAGTGGCTGTTGCCACTGCCACGCCGCCTTGAGTGCTGGAGGGGAGGGGAGGGAGGATGTCAAGGAGAGGGAGGAAGGGAAGAGAGGCACGAGCAAGAGGAGAAGCGAGAGGATGAGAGGGTGAGGATGTGAAAGAGCACCGACATGGCAGAAGAAAGGGCAGAAGGCAGCTGGAGAAGGGACTGCGACAAAAAGGCAATGCATTGTGCACCGCAGAAGAAAACAGCATGTTATTCGCACCGATGGGCAGCAACAATCTGCTACACACTCCAGGAATTGGAGGCATCCACACGTGCGCACACACACACACCACACACACACACACACACACACACACACACACACACACACACACACACACACACACACACACACAAGCCCCACCCCAACAATCTGCTGCCATGTGTCGAGTCGACCGTTGCTACTGCTGCCATTCCCTCCTACTCGCAGGGCACACACACACACAAGGGGACAGATGCACGCACACAGAAGCAGCACAACAAGGGAGAATGTAATGGAGCTGGAGGACGGTGGTGGAGGCAAGGGCAAGAGACACGACTGTTGCCTCTGCGCGGCGACGCCCTACGACTCACTTCACTGCCCCCCTGCAAGCACCCCCTGGCACGTACCACACAACCGCCACCGTGTGTCTGCCTTTGATGTGCCAATGTGCCGTTGCTGCCCCTTCTCCTCGCTGAATGGTTGTCCCTCGTCCCAGCAAACAATGCAACAGAAGCACTTTCCACTCCATGCCATTCCCCTCCACCTCGCAGGTTGTGAGGCACACACACGCATGGGGAGAGAAAAGACGTACACAGAAGCGGCGCAAAAGGAAGGGTTAGGAGCAGCACGAGAGGAGGCGAGTGGGAGAGGCAAGGGCAAGAGATACGACTTTTGCCTCTGCGCGGCGACTCACTACACTGCCCCCCTGCAAGCACCCCCAGGCACGTACCACGCTCCAGCTAAACGTTTTCTCCTCCTTGGCAGAGCATGCGGCTCCTTGGCCACGCCTTCACCCCCTGCAGCACCCTGCTGCGGCCTGTGCTCCACGCTCCAGGCGTGCTGCTCTAGGTGCCTCGTCATCTGCTCTTGAGCCAAAACCAACCAGTGGCCAGATTTCAGAGGAGGAAGTGGTGAAGCACATGCAATACACATCAGGAGCGCTTGGCATCACATAAGGCAAAGCGTTCGAAGGAGAAAATACTTGGTGGAAAAGTCAAGGCGCGGTTGCTACTGCTGGTACAAGTCACCAGCGGTGCTGCACTCACCAACGTTGCTGCTGTATCTCAGGCAGGAAAACCCTGCAAGCTTGTGAACCCCCGTCCACTCCCTGCCATTCCCCTCCGCCTCACAGGCCGTGAAGCACACACACGATGGGAGAGACACACGCAGACACAAGCAGCACAACAAAGGAGTGTTAGAAGCAGCACGAGAGGAGGCGAGGGGTGGAGGTAAGGGCAACAGACATGACTCTTGCCTCTGCGCAGCAACGCCCTAGGACTCAGTACACTGCCCCCCTGGAAGTACTCACTAGCACGTACCATGACCCATTAGCCCCTCTGCTGCTCCTGCGCCTCGCCTTCTCTTGAGTTCGCCTCCAGTTTGCCTCCCGTGCGAGCCAGCAACAGCAGCCCCGTCCATTCCCGTTCGTTTCGCAGGCCATGAGGCACACACACGCACGGGGAGAGAGGCAGCGACAAAGAAACGTGCAACAAGAAATGGTTAGAAATAGCAACATGAGAGTGGTGGAGGAAAGGACGAGAAGACACGACTTTTGCCACTGCGCGGCGACGCTCTAGGACTCCCTACACTGCTCCCCGCAAGCACCCCCTGGCACATACCACGCTCCATTCACCGCTCTGCTGCTCCTGCGCCATGCGCTCACTTGAGGCGTGCTGCTCCTGGTCGCCCCTCATCCGCGCCAGCAATGCAAGTCCCGTGCATTCCTATCCACTCGCTGTCATTCCCGACCGTCTCGCAGGCCAAAAGGCACACACACGTATGGGGAGAGAGGCAGTTACACAAAAACGATGCAACAAGGGGGGGTTAGAAGCAGCAACAGGAGAGTGGTGGAGGCACGGACAAGAAGACAAGACTCTTGCCTCTGCGCGGCGATGCTCTAGGACTCACTACACTGTCCCCCCGCAAGCACCCACTGGCACGTACCATGTTCCTTTCGCCGCTCTGCCACTCCTACGCCACGCCTTCTGCTCCAGGCTGTTTCTTGTGCCCCGTCCACTCCGCGTCCACTCCGCGTCCACTCCGCGTCCACCCCGCGTCCACTCCGCGTCCACTCCGCGTCCACTCCGCGTCCACCCCGCGTCCACTCCGCGTCCAATCCATGCCATTCCCCTCCACCTCGCAGGCCGTGAGGCACACACACGCGTGGGGAGAGAAAACACGCACACATAGGGAAGCGTTAGGAGAAGCACGAGAGGAGACGAGCGGCGGAGGCAACGGCAAGAGACACGACTGTTGCCTCTGCGCGGCGACTCACTTCGCTGCCCCCCTGCAAGCACCCCCTGGCACATACCTCGCTCCGCCCGCTGCACTGCCACTCCTGCGCCACGCCTTGAGCCCCGAGCAGCACCACCCTGCTGCTGTCCGTGCTCCAGGCTGTCCGTCCATTGCCGCTGCTGCTTACGCTCCTCCTCTTTCCGTTCCTCCAGCTGCTGTCGTTGCTCTCGTCGCGACCCCCTCCGCGTCGCTGCCTGTGACGCTCCTGAAAAACACTGACCGTCCACACCATGCCGCACGGCCACTCACGCACAGATTTGGACCACACGCAGACACTCGCAGACTCACACGCACATGCACAAACAAAACACAGAAAGGAGGACAACAGGAACTAGGTTAGTTGAAGCAGATGAAGAGTAAGAGAGCAAGTCAGCAAGCAACTGACTGACGACTCTGCGCTGGCGGCGCTCTACGACCTACTCTCCCCCCGAGCAGCTCCTCCAATGTAACTCACCAGGCCACGCCCGGTCCGCTCTCCTCGTGTGCGCGACAGCATGTTGTGAGGAGCAGCAGCCACCACCACCGCACCACGAGACTCTGCTGACTGCCAGAAAGTTGCGTGGCAATGAAGCTTCATCGTTTTGTTTCGCCTCTCGTCCCGAGTCGACGACCATGTGGTCGGCCACTGTCTGCGGCTCTGGGAGCGACGGCGATAGCCAGAAGAAGAGAGCAACGGTGGAACCGGAGAGAACGGCGGAAGCGGAAAGCGACGGAAGAAGCGGCGAGGGACGGCGGAGGCGGAGAACGAAGGCGACAACCGGTAGGTTGTCGTCGGGTCGGCGACGGACAGCGGACAGCGGGCTATCCATGGTCAGAGGTGGAGGTGATTTATGAGTTGACTTGAGTAACATTTTGTCTGTGCACGAGCGAAGTCGAGAAAACTGGGCGAGCGACGCTTCTATACTTGACGAAACAGCCGCTGGAGCGAAGAAAAGGACCGGCTGCGACTATACGAAGAACGTAACGAACATTAGCGCCTGTCGCAAGCGCCAGGAGTCCTGACATCCGCCTAACGCCTGTCGTCATGATTCTTAATATCCGCCTCTGTCGTGACAACAGTCTAACTATCTCCGTTAATGTATGACTTGACACCCGCATTAGGATCTGCAATCATCCTGGCTACACACAACTAATCATAGTATCAGCTGTGTCAGAAGGCCATGAAGTCGAGACCGACCGCTAACAAGAAAAAAGGCTGCGAAGGCCTGGCAACAAAAGAGAACCCTAAAGGGAGTTCCAGTGTACGGTTTCTCCTTGCACCAACTCGTCTTCGTTCAGAGCGCAAAGTTCTCTGGCTTGGCAAAACACGAGGCGGCGGGAATGCTGTGTGGCTGGGACTCCCATTCGGAATGCTGAAAGTCGCCTCGCCTGATTACGGCGAGCTCAAGGGAAGGGAAATGCAGCAGTTTGGGGATATGGATAAGATACAAAAGTTTCAACCGAGCGCATTGCGGGGATTGGCTGGGCGAGGCGGTGTCAGGTTCAGACAGGTGAAGTTTGAACCGTTTTGGAGGGAAAATCGGAGGGGGAACTTTGTTGCGGTAAACGGAGACAAGGTGGTTCGATATTATCTAAACGCTGGTGTGCGGACGTAGTGCTGGAAATTGGATCAAGTGTAGGACATATCCATAATGCATTATTCTGCATATTTTGGTCACACTCTCAGACCCCCTCCCGCACATTAGACAAAGCACCACTCCACAGTCGGACTTCGCACACAACCATGACCGCTGTTTCTCTAATCCCTACGAAGTCTATTGTTGTATCCATGGCTTGCCTCCTTCGGCCGCTGCATCTGCCTCACGGAAAGTATTTTCCGGCCACTGCCATGTTCGCGCGCGCGTGCTTCACAACTGCCCGCTCCCCGTCTCTTTCTCGAGACCCGTCTCTAGTCAAGCCTCCCTCACGCCACCCTCTCTCGTCGCCTCTACGGTCATCAACAGCAGCAGCAGACGGGACGGCAGCTGCCATAAACGCGTGCCAAGGACCTTCGCGCATAAGTTGCGAAGGCGCTAACTCCCTGTATGGCCCTTTGAAACCGCTCGTTAGAATTACTGCGTCCGCCCGGCTATCCAGGAGAAGCAGTAGCATCGCGTCGTGCGCGGATCGGATTGAGGTTGCCAGCGCAATTGCGGCTGTAGCGCGTTGTGGGCCCAGCCTCAGCCGTTCCCGCTGGCGCGGAGAAGAGAGCCGGCCAGCCTGGGAGTCGAGACGGGAAGTCCGGCCTGTTGCGACGTCGGCGGTGGTGCCGCGGCAGCAGGAGGCGGAGGTGGCGCAAGTGGAAGCGAAAACGGGGAGAGACGCGGAGGATGGGGGAAGCACAGGGATGAGGTCGACAGGTGATAGCGGAGGAAGCGAGGCTGGCGGTATTGACGCGACTGAGGTCAGTAGTGGGTCAATTCTAAGGGCCTCGAAAACCGCGAAAATCTCTCGCTAATTTGAGAATCCCCAGTCGCGAGTGCAAAATTTCCCATTTCCGCTCCCTCACAGCTTCCCTTCTTCTCCTTCCCTCCCCCCTCCCCCTCCCTTACCCCCTTCCCAACCTCCTGCTGCTGTGGGCTCCACGTGTCAGGCGGCGGTAATGGCGGCGCTCGAGCAAGGCCTGGGGGGGCCGTTGAGCAGAGAGGCAGTGGTGCCGCCGCCACAGCCGCTGGTGGTGGTGATCAGCGGGCCCAGCGGCGTGGGGAAAGACGCTGTCATCAAGGTACCCGCCGGCCCAGCGAACCGTTGCTGCCTGTCGGAATTTCTCTTGTTTCCCTTACCAACACGCATCCCCCCAACTCTTTCTCCCCCCCCCCCCAACTCCTCCGTCCATTCTCCTCTCCCGCTCACCCCTTCTACCCCATCACTTCTGTCTGCACTTCCTTCGTTCCCCTCCTTCCGTTCTCCGTTTTTCCCTCCGCTAGAAATATTCCTTTGCCCAGACTCTCTCTCTCCTTCCTTCCTTCTCTTTCTTTAAGCTCGAGATTCGTGAGCCATGCCAACACAAGTGCATGCCAATATCCTGATCGCTCACTCACATTCCCCTCCCCCACATCCTCTAACGTGTACATTCATGGTGGTGTGTGCATGCGTGCATGACACCCTAACCTCCAGTGCCTGCAAGAAACCCGCCCTGACATCCATTTTGTCGTCACGGCAACATCCCGGGAGCGCAGAGCAGGCGAGGTGGACGGCAAGGATTACATCTTCGTGTCGCGCGAGGAGTTTGAAGCGATGAGGGATGGGGGAGAGCTGCTGGAGCATGCTGTGGTGTACGGCGAGTACAAGGGCATCCCCAAGAAACAGGTGCGGCAAGCACAATGTGTGGTGCTGCTGTGCTGAGTGGCCTGGGAAGGGCGAGCTGGTGAGCATACTCCTGCAACTCCTGGTGCAATTCTGAAGCATCTCCTCGTGTGTCCCCCGTGCAGGTGCGAGACTCATTGGCGCGTGGCACAGATGTAGTGCTGCGGATAGACGTGCAGGGAGCAGCCACTATGCGCTCTCTCCTCGGGTCCTCTGCTGTGTTTGTCTTCCTAGTGGCTGAGACAGAACATGCGTTGGTGCAGCGCCTGGTACGCAGGAAGAGTGAGTCTGTGGAAAAACTACTGGTGCGCGTAGGCACGGCACGAGAGGAGCTGGGGCGGCGAGGGGAGTTTGACTATGTGGTGGTGAATGCTGATGGGCAGCTGGAGGAAACTGTCAGCACGCTGTGTTCAATCATTGACGCTGAGAAGCTTAGAGCGCATCGCCCTTCTTTGCTAGAGCTGTGACTGCATGTAGTGGCATGTCTATGGTGCTGGTCTAGTGAGAAGTGAGAGGAATCTGGTGGTGTATCTATGTGCAGTCTTGTTGCTTGTTAATGTATGTGTAGGGCTGAAAAAGGCCCCTAGGATCTTTGCAAGGGTGAACTCTGGTTAGAGTTGGTGTAATAGCGGAAGCGATAATAAAGTGTTGTGAACCACCTTGCGCTAGTATGTGAGAGCAAAGTAAGTTGATTAAAACAAGGAGATACAAGATTATATATGAATACAGGGAGTATGAAAAGACACAGTTATAACTATAGTGTTGCTGTTGCGGTTCGATACAGTGACGACTCGGGCAACTGCTCTGTAACGAGTCAGTTGTGTGTCCTTGCTGTCGCGCTGTACTTGTCAGGTCAAAGGTCGCTGACCTTTGACTTTCGCGTAACCTCCAGCGGTTACTTCAACCTCCGAGGGTTGACTCGCTGGTTCCTCGATATGCTTTGCTTCGCTTGTGCCTTAGTGTTTCGACACGACAGAGGCGCTTAGGACCGATTGTTTCCAACAGTATGCAGGCAGGTTAGTGCGAAGTGTCCTGGAATATATGTAAGGTTACCTCTGTTTAGTCGTGCTGATTCCATGCACACCTCGTCTCAACATTGTTGTGTTAGTGATATGAAGAATTAATGCATCGATTTCAATGATACTTCTTTTGACAGCCTGGTTGCCACGCTAGCGTGCTATAGGGTTAGATGCATCTTGCATTGACGTGGTTACTACAAGAATGTCATTCTGCCAAGGGCTGGCTCGGCTCGGGCAGGAAACACGTTGGCTTCATCCACCTGGAAGCAAAGCGTGGTGTCATTCAGCCACGCCATCACCTTCGCGTGCCAGTTCAGCCTTCAGCATTAGCTGGGCACGATTCGTCAAGAGCCAACCTACACCACCGGTTCGTGGCAGAGTAAAGCACCTGCGGACCCAAATCTTTTGCGAAGCGTTCGCGAATTGTCTTGACGAATCAGAGAATTTCGTCACAACTAACTGACGTTCGGCGACCCCATCCGAAACTTGCGCACAGTCTCACGCGGTTTCCGCCAAGCACGATTCCTTCCGCCTTGCGTACCAAGACCCGCGTAGCCCCGTCTCTTCCCCCCGTCCTTGTTCCCCTCTCGTGTTTCCTAAGAGCCGCCATATCTCTCCAATCAGACATTCCGAGTAGTGTGCTATCCATAGCTCTGCTTCCCTTCGTTCTGCTGCTGCCTCCGCCATACATTCAATTTCGTCCTTGACCCACTAAACCACGTCCTTAATTCTATTATGGCGTTCGCTGCGCACGCGGCTCACCAATTGGCGGCTTCCTCCAGCTTTCTGGCTGGGTCGTCTCTACCTTTTAACAGCAGAAAGTTCGCCAGCAGGAGCGTTCGGCCCTCTTTGACCGTCAGAGCAAATGGTTAGTCTAATTCCAACAATGTAAGGTATTAGTTTGGATTACTTCTGTCTTGAAGCTTGATTTTTTTTCTCGGAGTAATTTTTGTTGACTTATGAAGCACGTCACGTTGAGCTCCGTTCCTTGTAAGGCCTCACTAATTGAGGGAGCCCAGTCTTGCTGTCTTTGAACTACTTCAAGCGCTCAACGTTCATTTTGCAATTAGACAATGATAGCGTAGTCATCATTCAACATAGAAACCTGTTGTTTTTGGCAGTGGACGTCAGCCCGGAGGACCATGCTTTGGAGATCATGCGGAAGTTCAGCGAGCAGTACGCGCGACGCACGGGCACGTATTTCTGCGTTGATAAGGGTGTGACGTCCGTTGTGATTAAGGTACATCCAGCCAAATGACATCCAATTCGTCGTTTAACAATTTCTACCTGCTCGTGTTTTGCGTGTAAGACCTGTAAAATGAGAGATGTGGCTCTTGATGTTTATAGTTCGGACATTCGTGATAGTCTATCAGTGTTCTCAACCAGGACTCAATTCGGTTCTGTTTTGCAGGGATTGGCAGAGCATAAGGACACTCTCGGAGCGCCGTTGTGCCCGTGCAGGTGCGTGTCGTAACTGTAGTGGAGTCGGTTTTTCCGTGCTGAAGTATTCCCCCCCCCCCACCCCTCCCTCTCCCTCCCCCCCCTCTGTTTTTTGTAACAGACCACCTTTCCTCATTTGTTCTGCCCCTGGTCCGGTCAATATCGTATCCCTGCCAAGACCTGTCGATTTCAAAATTTCTGTTCCTGGTGTGCAGGCACTATGACGACAAGGTGGCTGAGGCGCAACAAGGCTTTTGGAATTGCCCATGTGTGCCGATGAGGGAGAGGTGAGAGGAATCGTAGTTGCTGGTGTGTAGTGCCTGACAATGCCCCATTCGACGGTTCATTGTTGCTGTAGATGACACGGTGGTTATGCAATGGCAGGTCACTTGACCAGCCCTTAAATTGTCTCTTTGAAACCATGTTGCGTGTGCTTGCAGGAAGGAGTGCCACTGCATGCTCTTTCTCACGGAGGACAATGACTTCGCTGGCAGAGAGCAGGTTGGATTCCTACCTTTCCTGAGTCCTTCCATGTTTTCAGTGTCAGTGTTGGCTGGAATTTAGAACATGGCAATTGTGAAAAATTTCCATTGCACGATTGTTTTTTTTTTTCCTGTTATTGTTTGAACAGGCTATCACTTTGAACGAGATCAAGGACTTCACAGCTGGTTTCTAGCTTCAATGCTGCTGTATTTTGTGATTTGGATTTCAATTATATCTTCAATGAAGCAGTTGCGTCACTACCTGGCCTGCAGAGCTGTAGAAACAGTTTGTTCTCAAATTCTTGAATTGCTTTATGTAAGTGTTGTCCGACACAGGGTTGAGGAAATGTAAAGTGTCTGGAAAGATTTCAGCTTGATACATACAGATGGTGGACGAACAGTGTCACCAAGTTGGTCACATCTGCAGTCACTTGAGAAGCAGAGTGTGTCCAGATAATGAAATGTGAGAAGAGGCATCCGTAGCGCGGCAAATGCCTCTGATGTTCGAATGTACACTACACCTTGGGTTTTACATGCTGCAAAACATCCTGAGGGCTGATCGTAGCCCAACATGGGCTTATAAACCAAACTTCTGACATTCACCAGTCAAGACTATAACATCTTGCGGGTGTGGTTCAGGAGCTGACGAAGATCAACAACTAGGTGATACTCATGAACCTGGGAGATTCTACAGGCACTCGGCCTTGAAGACAATGCTCAGGTTCAGGTTGTAGGGAAAGCCACACTAGTCACGACACAACGCTCTTCACAGACATAAAAGCGCTACAGATGCATATATAGGAAATTTGTATCACTCTGACGGCTTCTTGCTGTCGGTGTTGCCTGCCTGCGTGGCTCTCGGGGTGGAGGGAATGAGGCTGAAGCTGGTGGAGTGGGAGGAGGGGAAGTCCATGGATGGAGCAAAGGAGGAGCCTGCAGCACGGATGCGCGCACCCACAATCCACCACAGGTCGTCTGCCAGTACAAGAGGAGCGCACAGTGGGAAGCCCGGGCACGAATTTTTTTAGGAAAATGGATGTCAAGCGGAAGGGTGGAGAAGGGGTTTTAAAGGGAGGTGCACAGGAGCAACAAAAACAGTGGGGCCGAGTTTCGTATGGAGGAGGTTCATGAAGGGTGGATTTCATGAAGAGTTTAAAGGGCGGTGACTTACATGGGGGAAATAAATGGGAGGAAATGAATACATAGGGGGGGGGAGGGGGTAGATTCACAGGGGGGGGTCTATGAAGGGTAATTTCCGCAAGGGGTTAAGTTTTCTGGAGCGAAATTCAATTGAAATGAGCCTCATGAAAGGTGAACTACCATGAGGAAATAGGCAGGCATACAAGCAAACAAACCACCTGTGAAACCATAACAGCCCATCCATTACAATCCACCACCACACCGAAATGCAACTCACTTGCTCCGCCTTGCGAGTCTCCTTCTAGAGCCTCTGCTGCCTCGCCAATGCCGGCGCTGCTGCCCCTCCCACTGCTGCTCCGCTGCATCACCCTCGCCCTCTCCACCGCCTGCCGCTCCGCCTTCTCCCGCACTTTGTTCCTCTCCCTCCGAGGCGACCGCGATCGTGGACTCTGCTGCCCAATCTCGCCCCCGCCCCCTGCCGCCCAATACTCACCCGCCCCTCCTGCAGCCTCCTCGTCTAACCCACTGCCATCTCCCGCCCCTCCCGCCCCTGCAGTGCTGCTACTCAACGCCCCTGCAGCAGCCATGGGGGTGGTGGTGCCAGAGGTTTGTGGCGACCCAGGGGTGCGGGCAGAGCCCGGCGTGCCAGGGCGTAGGGGCGAGGAGAGAGCACCCCATATGCTACTCGTATCGGCACTCGGGGTGTTAGCTGCCACGGAACGATGTCTGGCGGTTTGGTCTCCCCTTCCTGGACTCACAGTGGCGCTGCTGCTGCTGCTGCTGTTGATGATGTTACTGTTATTGCTGGCAGAGGTGGGTTGGGGGCTTAATTGACTGCTACCTAGTCTACCTCCACTCCCGCCTCTCCTGCCTCTGCTTCTCCCTCCGCTGCACCCACCTCCTCCCTGCCGCCGCCGCTTCTGCTGCGGCTGCTCCTGAGCCAGCTGCGCGCTGCCCTCCCGACCCTGCTGCTGCTCCTGCTGCCGCTGCTGCTGCTGCCACTTACTGCGCCTGGGACTAGACTTAGGGGACTTGTCCTGAGACTCCTGAGACGACTGGCCAAAGCTCAAGGGCGGTAGAGCGCTGCCAGGAGCAGCAGAAGAACCTGCAGCCGCAGCTGCCGCTGCCGCCGCTGCTGTTGCGGCCGTCCTTGAAGCAGGGGATTCCGATCCATGGGAGGCGGAAGAGGAGGAAGACGAAGAGGAGGGGGTGGAGGGGTCTCCCCGGGAGCAGAAAGCGCGAACAGCCTCATCCTGGGAGGCATTGCAGAAGGGGCCGAGAGCCGGGGCGAATATGGCGTGGCGCAGCATGCGGGGCAGGCGCGAGGTGACGAGGCGCGTGCGCGTGCCGGGGAACTTTCCGAGAAAGAGCTGGAAGGAGGAGAAGCGGAGCGTGGCGGAGGAGGCGTGGCGGGAGGAGACGAGCGGCGGGCAGCGGGCGACGAGGAAGCCTGAGAGGTCGAAGATGGGCATAACGCCTATGCTGCTCGGTGAGTGGTTGAGGGGCAGGGAGTGAGTGCGGGAGAATATGAGTGGCGGTGGCCCACGAGGACATGACATATCTTAGAAATAAAGTGAAGGAGGGGAATGGTGGGGAAGGAAGAGGGGAAGAGGGGGAGAGGGGAAGGGAGAGAGAAGCAGAAGGAGAAGAAGAAGAAAAAAAGGGAGCGCGGGAGGCAAGGCAACGCACCCTTGACAGAACCAGCAGGGCTCGTTGGCGGCGGAGGGCGCAGGGCGCAGCAGGCGCGACCAGGCCTGCGACGGCGAGAGCAGCCCCGACCCCTTGCAGCGCGGGCAGTGCAGGCGATCGCCGTCCAGCCGGTCCAATAACCCGAACGCCGCCTTCGCCGTCGCCTGATGGGCGCCACACGGTACAGCACGGTACAGCACGGTACAGCGCGGCACGGCACGGCACGGCGCGGTGAGGGGAGAGAATGGAAGGTGGAAAGGGGGCGACGGCAGGCACGGGAAGGGAGGACGGAGGGTTGTTATGTGTGTACACGTGAGCGAGTGAGAGACAAGAACGAAAAATAAGGGGTGGAGGGAGCTGGGGAAGGGAAAGGGGTGGTCAACAGCGAGGACGTGGAGATAGAGCGGCGGGGAGCGTCTCTGAAAAGGGCAGAGACGAGACGAAGTGACGGACTGAGGCCGGGAAGGGGAACGGGGGAGGGGGCAAAGGGAAGGATAAAGAGGTGGACGAAACGCGTTCGACCGTCGCACCAAGTCCTTGTTCGGTCGTGCATAAGTGTCTGAAGCCATCACATACGTTTCTATGATTTAGTAGTTTCCTTGATTTAGTGGTTTCCTTGATTTAGTAATTTCCTTGCTAGTAGCGTTATCCTCGAGAAGCATGTGGCCTACACTGTTAATGTCGTCTGAGCCATGCCATGCGACGACACGCGACGACATGCGATGACATGCGATGGCATGCGAAGACATGCCACAACGTGCCACCGTATGCCACACGCCACACCACGCGACAGACAAACTGCTCCCCGCCATGCTCATCTCTGCTGTTCCGTGGCTGCGATCAAGCCGCTGACTTGCTTTAGCACCCACTCGCCACCGCCACCACCGCCGCTTTCTCAAACCCGGGCCTCCACAACCGCCCCACCTCTCCGGCGCTCTAACGGCCTGGCAAGCCACACCGGCGCTCTAACGGCACTTTGACTCGCTTTAACTCGCTTGCTTTGACCAGCTTCCGCTTTGACTAGCTTTGACTCGACTCAGGGCTCACCAGCGCGCGGACCTTCACCGCATTCGCAACTCCGCCGATCGCCACTGCGCCGTCCATCACTCCGCGTTGGATCCGCGCGGGAGCCTCCTCCGCCCCCCGCTGCAGCGGACCCACTAATCCCCGCGCGGTCGCTTCCGTGCGCGTCACGGCATCTCGCCACATCAGCTCCCACTCTCCCTGCGGATTACCACCCGATGCCGCCGCAGACGGCGACAGCGGCGGTTTCGGCGAACTTCCAGGCGCCGCGGTCGCGGAGAACGGTCGGCGGCCGGCGGAGGGGGAGTTACGTCCGCCTAGCCCTCCCCCGAGAGTGGCGCGAGGGAAATTCTTCCCCCGGGATGGGGAGGCGGAGGAGGCAGCGGGGGAAGGCGGGCCGATAGTTATCGTGGTAGAGTGGGCGAGAGAAGGCGACGCGGACATAGAAGCGCCGGCGGCTGATCCTGTGGAAGCGAGGCGCCTTAACGGAAGATTGCGCGGACTACGGGAACGGGAGGGAGACTGCTGGCGAGATAACTGCTTCGCGTGCTTCGCGCGGTTGCTGCTAATGCCGACGCGCGGAGTGCCCCCATCCCTCCCTGTGAATCCCTCTGCTGCATCGCCGAGCCCTTCCGGATCCGTGCGAAGCACGAAAACGGGTTCCCCAGCTGTCATCCCGATGCACCGACAGAATCAGACGAATTTTGAAAAGAAATTCGTTGCTGATAACGCTTACACTCGTGGCGTGTGTGATGGCTGCAACTGGCAGCAGCTGAGATAAAAAAAAGCTCGAACGCCTACCTTGGAGCGGAAACACTAACTAGAACAAGCAAGCGCTCAAGCACGAGAAACCTGTCTAAAAAAACTAGCGAAGGGAGCCTCGAGGTTGGATTGGATGGGTTGGAAATGGAGTGGCGTGTCATCGACTCAGGGGAGTCATGGCATGGTGGGAGGAGCAGCCTAGCCTAGCCCACTCCCTAGGTTCCCGTTTTGTCCGTCTTGTTCCGTTCCGTTCCGTTCCCTCTCACCCACCCAGACAGGTGCACAGACCCGACGCAGCGCAACTTGCCAGTCGGTCCCATCAAATCACGATGAGCGGCTCACGGCTCTCGTCACGATTCACGAAAGCTGCTCGCGCAGGCTCCCCTCGATCTTCCGCCACTACGCGGAAAGGGGTGCTTCCTTGGCGCACGTTTAAGCGGCGGAGCGGAGTCTCCAGGGGGAAATGCTCCCCCACACACACGGAGAACTTGGTGGTTGCACTTGGTTTGGTGCGGCATGAGTTTAGGTGTCACGGGGGCAGCAAGGCGACGAGCGCCACATGAGTTGCCACGTGTAAGGGCTAAGCATTTTCCCGCCAGTGCGATTGGTTTGGGAGTTCGCTTCTGGAAATCCGTATTTTGAAATATGACTCGTTCGAGTCTTGCTGGAAAATAGAACTGCAGTGCAGTGTAGGATAGGTACAATACAAACTCATGTAATGGGAGCATCAGAATGTTCATAACGTGAAAGTGACAAATTTGTGGAGCACGGAAGTGACTGAGCCGAGACTGTTGCTTTTCATGATCCGACAACCCGTCTGTTGCTATCCCTCAACTGCTAGTGTGTGACGATCAACGCAGAAATGGGTCGTGGAGGTGGTGAGATTGAGAGCACAGCTGATGCGGAATGTTCACTCGAGCTTCGTCCAGCCACCGTGGCCGACTATGAGCACTACGTTTCCTTCTTTCCGGACCTGTCAATGCCTCCGTCACTGCTACTGCCTTTCGATACGTGGCAGCGGGACCTAGCGCCGTCGACGTATTTCCTCGTGAGCACTGCCGGAGCCAAGGCGCCTGGCGGTGACGCTGAGCTGAATGGGCCGAGTGACGGGGCCCCTCTTGCGTACGTCTACGTGGAGACGCTGCGAGACTCGGCGTTCATTCGCCATATCGTCGTCCACCGCGGTACGCTGTCGCATTGCTGTGCCTCCTCTGCAGCAGCTGTCGCTGCTGCTGCGCGTATGTGATACCTCCACTGCGCGTATACGTTTCCTGCATTGTCTCGCCTTTCCTCTCCACTACTCAACGAACCCCTTGTTCCCCTCTCCTCCTTTCCCCTCCCCACCCTACCCGTCCCCATTTCTCCACCCCCCTGCGGCTCTCCCCCCTCACCCTTTCCCCCTTTCCGTCATCTCCCTCCTGATCCCTCTGCTCTGTCGAACGCCAGAGAAGCGCAGGCAAGGCATGGGGACGAAGCTGATGCAAGCTCTAGCGGCGAGGCTGGCAGCAGCAGGGTGCAGGCAGTGGCGCCTCAACGTCTTCCCCTCCAACACCGCCGCCGTCCGCCTCTACTCCCGCCTCGGCCTCTCGCCCGTACATTCCGGCAGCTGCCTTTTGATTCTCTGGAAAACACTCTTACTGCGTTATCAGAAGTGCTCTGTTCCGTGTAACGACGAGAAGGCTGTAGAGGCGAGTCTTGAATGCAAGGCAGGGTCATGTGCAGGAAAGGACAGGTGCGGTGGGAGTCCAAAGGACGATGGATCAAGCAGCATGTGCCGTGCAGGAAGGATGTCGGGTGAACGGACAGAGCCAGACGGACAGCTGAGGGAGGATTCAGGTGATGGGTCAGGGATTGAGAGGGTGAGGGTGGGCGAGATTGAGGTAGAGGAGGAGGAGCAGGTAGAGCGGGAAATGGGGTTACCGCTGGGGATGTTGCAACGATTTAGGGCACTTACAGGTACTGTGCTAGCCAAGGCTATGGAGCATTGTGAATGTGAGGAAGGACCTGAAGATAGTGGTGTCAATGACCCACGCACGAGAGGCATTGACGAGAATGCTTTGCGAGTGGTTGGTCTAGCGGTCTACCAGGAGAGCTATGGTGGATTCAAGGTCTTTCGTGCTTCGTCTCCTGCAGTAGCTGAGAAGTTGCTGGAGTGGTTTGGTGTGCAGCTTGGTTGCAATGATGGCGTATGCACACTGCTGGTGGAAGCTTGTGATGATGTGGTGCAATGGCTGAAAGCCATGGGTGCAACCACAAGGTATGAAACTCTCCAAATGGTTGGAAATGTGCAGAAGATTGCATGAAGCGTAGAGGTGGAAGTATATGTTATTTGGCTAGGAATTGACATAGGTACGGTAGTAATCCGTTTTAGCCCCTACAGATTGACTCTGTTCACTTTACAAGAACCAAGTCCTTGCAATTCTTGGGCATATCACCGACACGAACCCTCCTACCCATTCTGTGAATCCGTGCAAAGAAAGCTGGGGTGGGGAGGATGTCCCTTGGAGCCGACCATCAGCATGCGACGCGACTTGTTCAACAGAAACCGAAATCTTGGCGAGTTTCGTTTCGTTTCGACTCATTAGCTTTCTTCTTCTGCCCTTGGCTTCCACGTTACTCCTAGTAACTAGGGAAGCTATATTCCAGGTCCATACTTTCAGATTTCTCTCTAATTTAGCCCCAGGTTTACTCAAAAAGTACTACTTTCTAGAATTTCGCTCACGCGAGGCCCAAAGTATGTTCGAAACTGGTCCTGCGGGGCGAAGTTTTCGACACGTGTTCAATTTCGCTTGGAATTTTTTTCGACGGGGCAAAAAAAATAAAACCCCTCGGGAACTAGGGCACATTTGCGGGAGGGATCAACCCTAAACACCAAGCGGGTACCCGTGTTTAGGGTTGGTCCCTCCCGAATGTGTGTCCTGGTTCCCCTAGGAGTTTTATGTTTTTTGCCCCCGTCAGAAATTGCTAATACGAAATAGGACACGTGTCGAAAATTTTGCCCCGCAGGACCAGTTTTGAACATAATCTGGGCCTCGTGTGAGCAAACTTCCAGAAAGCTGTACTTTTGGAGTGAAATTAAGACTAAATTTGAGATATTTTTGAAACTATGGAGCTGGGATATACTTTCCCTAGTAACTACCCTTTCCACGGTACGCACGACAGTTTGCGACACACGCTGGAAATGTACTGCATTGCAAGTGAGAAAAAGGCCCTGTACTTTATTCGTTCGACCTGCCCGGACAGCTGAACCACCGGCCGACACATCACAGAGCAAATCATAGTCGACCAACCACAGTGCTCAATCTGCCCGAGCAGACGCCGTTTTCGAAAAGGGGGCTGTTTTCACATGGAACAAGAGGGAGAAGGGCGGGGGACGAGGAGAGGTAGCGTAGCATATCGTGTAGCGTGCATGCGACGCGAATTGGAAAAGAAATCCGGACGCGTTTCTGGCGGAGTTACCCTCGCTGTCGAACAAGGCCGTGGTGAGGTGAGGCGACGGGGCGAGCGAGGAAGCAAGCAATAAACACAAGCAGCAGCTACCCCCACTGCCCAGCCCACGCGGCTCCTTGCGAGGTCAGATCAGACCACCGATTGGCAGCCATCACCGTTATTTTCCTGACGTTCCTTTGTACGTTTCGGTAGTTAACTAATCTGATGCTTGAAATAGCTCCATCCAGCCCCAGCCGCACTGCAACCGCCACCACGATCCGTGTCCGTAATCCCCTCGACGTTCCACCCAGAGCGGCGTAATCCCGCAGGGCGACGACGACGAGGGCAACGACAACGAAAGTCTGCCATTGCGCCAACGCCAAGCTACACGAGCATCTCAAGGGCTGTGATCCTGACGTTTTGCACAAACGGCCGTTTCACGAGGTAGCTCGGATTAGCACCGCAACTATGGCGTCGACGGATTGCAAAAATAGCTTAGCGACCAGTCAGAGAATCGCTTCTCCTACCACCTACCACACGTCTCTAGCCCAACGAATGGTGTCCTCGCTCCCGCCCAGCGATCCTCCCGTCTGTTGCCACACCGCGCTCCATCCCGCCGCAATCCCCTCCACCGCACTCTTCTTCGTCGAACCTCGCGCCGACGCCAGTTCTACTTCCGCCAGCATCTTTCCCCGTAGTCACTCCTGCGCTTCCGCCGACACCTCCGCCGCTGGGCTCTCCGGAGCGCATCACCGCACCACCCGCACTCCCCCGATCAACTCGTCAGCTCCGCACCCGGCGGTCGCCGCCAGCAGAGGAGAGGTGTTTTCGCAGCGCGCACGAGCCGCCCGCAGCGGGCGCGCAGCGCTGCAGATGCCGCGCGGAGCGAGCGACGGCGGGGGGGGGAGCGGCGGAAGCGGCGGCGATGGGCAATGGCTTGCGCGGCTGCGTAAATGGGAGGAGGAGACGTGCCGCGCCCAAGGGCGCCCCATGCGCAGTGCGCTCGCCGCCGGAAACCCCGCCTCTTCTGCAAGCGCGCGGAAGTTGCGGTGGCAGCGGAGCGTCAGCGAGGGTGGCGCAGGTTTCGCCGATGCCGCTGCTGCTGCTGCTACTGGTATCGGTGATGAAATTCTTGCCATAGCGTGCGGTAGCGGTGACGAGTCCGAGGAGAGTGAGGATGAGCAGGAGCATGAGCATGGGAATGAGGATGGGGATGAGGATTCGGGGGATGGCGACGGGGCAGTACTCATTGGCGAGGTGGTGGATAGTCCCACGGAACCCGCGCCGTACCTTGGCGTCGCATTCGGAGCAACAGCACCACTCGCCAATTGCAGCACCGGCCCTGGCTCCAGCCCTTGCTTCGTCCCCGGTGCAAGCTTGGGCATGGACACGGGGAGCGGCGGCGGAGTGTCGGGGTGCGGCGTGCGCGCGCAGCAGAGCATGATGACGTCTCCCGCGCAGCACTCCGCGCTGCAGCCGCCGCCCGTCGCGTTATACGCTGGGGGACAGTGGCCGCAGCAGGGGCAGGGGCACGGGGGGCAGGGGGGGCAGCAGTGGCAGCAACAGGCGGAGCAGCAAAGCCAGGGGCAGGGGCAGGGGCAGGGGCACGCATGGTGCTGTGGGTGGCAGGAGCAGCAAGCAGCAGCGCGGCAAGTCCCCCCGCGTGTGCTCCATCGCTGCCAATCCGTGCCCGTGGAGACTCCCCATCGCCCCCGCCGCTCGCCCCCACCCCCGCACGCCCCAGTCCGCCCGGCCACCTCCCCCAAACCCGCCGTGCGCGCCCCGCACCGCCGCCCTCCGCCAGTGCTGCGCCCCTCCGCGCCCCCCGCCGACGACATCCCTCTTGCTGCGCCTGTCACTTCCCCCCTTGCTGCGCCCGTTGCCTCCCCCCTTGCGCCCGCCTCCGCGCCCCTCACGGGGCAACGGAACTCGGCACTGCGCCCCGAATCCGCGGAGAGGGCAGCGCGGCGCAGACCAGCGTCCGCGCGAGTGAGGGGCCAGGCGGGAACAGAGGCAAGTAGCAGGGATGAGAGCAGTGGCGTTGGCGCAAGCAGCGCTCTTGAGACCGCTGCTCCTGGTGCTGCTGCTGCTTCTGCTGTTGCCACGCCAAGGGCTCTGCCTTCCTCCCCAGTGCCACTGGCCGAAAGAGCAGCAGCAGTAGCAGCAGCAGCAGCAGGTGGTGGTGGTGGGGGCACATCCAGCAGAGGGAATCCAAGCCGTGCTGCGCAGTCATCTAGGGCTCACCATGACTCTTCCCTCTCGTCGTCCCTCCCACACGCCCCGTGCCAGTCTTCTGCAGTTACCACATCTGTTGCTCTATCCACTCGTCCTTCATCCGCTGCTCCCACCACTGGTAGTAGCAGCACTGGCAGTGGCAGCGGCAGTGGCACTGGCAGTGTCAGGGGCACGAATCGCCGGAGAAACAACAGCATTGGCAGCAGCGGGAGCAGCAGCAGCAGCAGCAGCAGCAGCAGCAGCAGCAGCAGCAGGGCAGGTTCACTGCACGTGGACATGCTTGCATCGCCGGTTGTTCCCAGCCCTCGCATGCCACAAGCGTGCTTCCCTCGCTCCGTTTCCGCCTCTGCTGGTGAACCCTCTCCCTCTGCTGCCACTGCTTGTAACCCTGCTAACCCTGCTGGCGGTGCTGGCAGCAACATGCATTCCCCTGTCAATTATGCCGCATCAGCTGTGGCAGGAGGAGCAGGGAGGACCCACTATCGTCCCATGTACCCACGCTCCTCCTCCACCCCCACTACTGCTCCCGCCACCCATACCACCCGCAGCCGAATCTCTGTTAAGCTCATGGCCATGCCCATGGAGCATGTGGAGTATGTGCACGCCACTCACTCTCCTGCTGCTGCTTCTGCTGCTGCTGTTGGTGGTGGTACCGCTGCTGGTGGTGGTTGTAGGGGTTCTGGGAGCAGTGTTACCAGTGTGGGGGCTGCATCTTTGTCCCCCCAGAAGCAGCGACCGGAAGGAAGTAGCAGTGCAGGAAGTAGCAGTGCAGGCGGCAGTGCAGGGAGTAAGGGATGGGCGCAGAGGAGAGGAGATGCGCTCATGGCCCATAGTCTCAAGCAACAGGGTGCAGCAGAGCAGGATGTAAGGAGCCACAGGCAGCACAGAGAGAAGAACATGGTTGTTACCTCTGCTGCTGCTGCTGCGGCTGGTGGTGCCTCATCTGCTGCTGCTGGTGCTGCTGGTAAGGCCTCTGTGCGAGACAGCAGCAATAGGGGCGGAAACACCAGCACTGGCAGCAGCAGCAGCAGCAGCAGCAGCAGCAGCAACAGCAACAGCAACAGCAACAGCAAGGGCAGCAGCAAGAGCAGTGGGAGTAAGATTGCGGTGAGGAAGGAAAATATGGAGAGCAGAGACAGTATCAGCAGCAGCAAGAGCGGTGGGCATAAGGTGGCAGTGAGGAAGGAGAATCTTCTGAGCACTGACAGCAGCAGCAGCAGCAGCAGCGGCAGCGGCAGTGGTAGCAGCAGCCGGGTTGGTGCCATGAGCAAGCAGGCAAGCTCAGGTTCCAAGGTGCGAAGCATGAAGAGACAAGTTTCTCCTACCATCAACGTCAGTGTTGCTGCTGGTGCTGCCGCTGTTGCTGTGGCTGCTGCCGTGGCTGCTGCACCTGTACAGAGAGTTTATGTGTAGGTTGGAGTGGCAGCCTGGCTGAAACTCCTGTACATTTTGTTAAATGCCATACAGATTAAAAAAATGTTATACAGTAACTGTTTTGTATCAACACGATAGGCCATGCAAACACAGAATCTGATTCAATACACCTGTATTGATACAATATTAGGTTAAACACAGTGCACTCTCTGGCTCAGAGCATGTGGTACTGCACTATACAAGGATCAAACAACAGTTCTCCCACACACAAAAGCCAACCAGATCACAAGCATCTATAGCTAGCATCTCTCACGACAAACACACAAGCAGTGCGCACCGCATACTGCCCAACACTCGTGCGCAGCCACGCAGACACGCAGGGCCACTGTGCTGCAGACTATGCCGAACCGAGAGCATGGGGCCAAGCAGGATGCCAAACAGGAAGCCAAGCCACGGGTAGAGCACTAGGAGGAGTGCTACGCATAGTAATGGGGTGAGGTATATAGGTGGAGGAATAGGCAGAGCGCTAGAAGGACGAGGAATGGTGATGAGGGGCGCGCGAGGAGTGGGGCAGGATGGAGGGTCTCAGGCAGGCAGCAGGGCCCACTCCTCATTTCAGAGGAAGAGAGTCAGAGGATGCGGCAATGCTTGAGGTGATTTTTGCGGCGCCTCAAAAGACGACCCACTTGAGAGGATGAGAGTCAGAGGATGCGGCGGTGCTTGAGGTAGGCAAGCATGGCGAGGAAGAGAAGCACGCCCCCAAACACTATGCCAAACGTTGCTGTCCAAAAGGCAAGCTGTGTGCCCGCGCGCACGCACGCACGCAGGCAGGAAGGCAGGCAGACATCCATGCACGTGGGAGACGAGATGAGGGGATGGGGGGGAGGAGGGGTTGAGGATGATGAGAGTCAGTCAGACGATGCGGCGGTGCTTGAGGTAGGCAAACATGGTGAGGAAGAGTGACACGCCCCCAAACACTATGCCGAATGTGGCTGTCCAGAAGGCAGGCTGTGCCCGCGCATGTACGGGATCGAGGGTGGGGGAGCGGGAGGGCGGGGAAAGAGGAGGGGACATAAGGTGCGGGGAAATATGGTGCGGGGAAATAAGGTGAGGTGAAAAAGTTGGGAGGTGTTGCAAAGGTGGGAGAGGGGGAGCGGGGGCGCTTCGGGAGAGCACGCAGGATGGAAAGATTGACAACAGGCAGGCAAAAGGAAGGGTAAGCGAAGCGAAGGGGCCGAGTGAGAACACAGCAGGAGGGAGTGGGAGGGAGTGGGAGGGAGCGGGAGGGCTACGGGAGGGAGTGGGGGGGCGGGCAAGGTGTAGGGAGGAATAATAGGCTTACCGCGCTCTCCTCTAGGCGATTGCGCAGGTTCATGCCAAAGATGCCTGCACGGGGCACAGGTGGCGGTGATGGTGGTGGTGGTGGTGGTGGTGGTGGTGGTGGTGGTGGTGGTGGTGGTGGTGGTGGTGGTGGTGGTGGTGGTGGTGGTGGTGGTGGTGGTGGTGGTGGTGGTGGTGGTGGTGGTGGTGGTGGTGGTGGTGGTGGTGGTGGTGGTGGTGGTGGTGGTGGTGGTGGTGGTGGTGGTGGTGGTGGTGGTGGTGGTGGTGGTGGTGGTGGTGGTGGTGGTGGTGGTGGTGGTGGTGGTTTGGGGGGGAAGGGGGACATTGAAGACTTAAAAAAAGAGAGGAACCGAAAGGGGCGGAATGGGCCCAGGAAAGGGGGTGGAGGGAAGGGACAAGAGTGGGGCGTACGGAGCGGATAAGGAAGCAAGGGAAGCGTGTGGGCGGTGTACGGTGTGCGCCCACCGTGTATGAAAAAGTGGTTTGAGACGTCTCCAAACACTTCTTCATACACGGGAAGCGTGTGGGCGGTGTACGGTGTGCGCCCACCGTGCTAGAGCTGGTGACTGGTGAGGATTGAGTGTGTCTGGTGTAAGCACAAGGAGAAGCAAGGATAGTGGACAAGGGGCGTGGGTGCATAGGAGAGAACGATGGCGGGTGAGCAGGGGATAACAGGAGCAGTCAATACAGCGATTGGAGGCGGTCAAAGGAGGGGCAGAGTGGTATGAACCACCCGCACTGCACTGCACTGCACTGCACTGCACTGCACTGCACTGCACTGCAATGCACTGCACTGCACTGCACTGCACTGCACTGCACTGCACTGCAATGCACTGCACTGCACTGCACTGCACTGCACTGCACTGCAATGCACTGCACTGCACTGCACTGCACTGCACTGCACTGCACTGCAATGCACTGCACGCACCTGCAATGAGTGCTCCCAGCGCTGCAGCGAATGTGCCCACCTGCAGCAACAGCTCCAACCGCCCCACCTCCAAGCGTCGCGAACTGGCAGGGGGGAGGGGAGAGGCAGGGGGAAGGGGAGGAGACGGGGGAAGGGAGGCGACAGGGATTGAGGTGGGTAAATCAGGAGATGAGGGCCGGGAGTGGGGAAAGAGTGTGTAAATGCCAAGGCGTGTGGGAGGGGAAGTGAGTGGGTGTGGTGATGGGGTTGGATGGACGGGACAGGATGGATCACTTCACACGTACACACGCTCCACATAACTCTGCACAGCACTTGCACACATCACATGTCGCACAATAAGGGCAGGGCAGGGCAGGGCAGGGCAGGGCAGGGCGGGGCAGGGCGGGGCAGGGCGGGGCAGGGCAGGGCAGGGCAGGGCGGGGCAGGGCAGGGCAGGTGTGGGTGGGACACCTGAGGTTGACAGCGATGGAGTCCTCCATCTCCTTGGCTGAGTCCAGCAGCTTCTCCGACTGCCCATGGCACGACTCACACCTGATGCGTACCACACACAGGGGGCACACGGACGAGGGACAGGGCACAGGGCACAGGGCACAGGGCACAGGGCACAGGGCACAGGGCACAGGGCACAGGGCACAGGGCACAGGGCACAGGGCACAGGGCAGAGGTCAGAGGGCAGAGGGCAGAGGTCAGAGGGAGATGGTGAAGGGAGCACACGCAAGGAGGCAGGGATGCAACAACAGGAATGAAAATCTCGAGAGCCACAGCAGCAGCGGCAGCGGCGGTGGTGACAACAGCAGCAGCGCAACAACAGAAGCAGTCGGACAGCAGCAACAGCAGCAGCGTACCTCTGCAGGTAGTACCTGACCTGAACACCATCTCTATCTCCAAACATAATTCTCAGAAAAGCTGCAGTAGTGAAGCTAGACTTGAAGCAGAAGAACAAACAGCCAGCTAGGTACGGTGCAGTAACAACAGAGGCATCATCAGCAGCATACCTCTGCAGGTAGTACTCAAACACCATCTCTATCTCCTGCTCCTCCTCTGCCCGCACCCACACAGGCAGGCAGGTACGCACATGGATTGAGAACAGAAAGGACATAGGAGACAACACAGGTCAGGGAATAGGAAAGGGAATGGGAGGGAAAAGGTAGTACTTGAACAACATCTATATCTCCTGCTCCTCCTCTGCCCGCACCCACACAGGTGAACACATGGACAGGAAGGACAAGAGAGACAAGGAGAGGTCATCGGGCATGGAATGAGAGGCAATAAGAGGCAACGAGAGGGAAGGGGGGGACATGGAGGGAAGGAGAGGTGAGGGGAGTGATTAGAAAGGCAGACCAGGAGGAGAGCTGCAGAGAGCATGTCAGGTGTGAGCTAGTGAGATGACTTTTGAGTCAACTCATAAGTCAGGAGAGCTGCAGAGAGCATATCAGGTGTGAGCTAGTGAGATGACTTTTGAGTCGACTCAAAAGTCAGGAGAGCTGCAGAGAGCATATCAGGTGTGAGCTAGTGAGACGACTTTTGAGTCGACTCAAAAGTCGGGAGAGCTGCAGAGAGCATATCAGGTGTGAGCTAGTGAGACGGAGTAGGGTGGAGTGAGGGGGGCAGCACAAGCAGAGCTCCACGTCCCCACCGTCTGACCCACGCCCCCTCGGCCCCTCTCTCATCGCCCTTCCCACCCACCCATCCGCACCTTCAGCCAGCAGCGTGTCAGCAGCAGAGGGGCACTCAAAAGCGCCGTCCTTGTTGACACGGCACTGCCTGTCAATGGCCGTGATCCGTCTGAGCTCATTCGTGTGTTCCAGCAGCTCCAGCAGCATCTGTCTGAGCGCGCCCGCCTTGGACCCCAGCTCCACCAGCGCTGTTACCTCCACCTCTGCACTTCCCTCCCTCCTCACCCCTTTCCCCCCATTTCTCCCTTCCCCTCGACCACCCCCCCCCCAAACCCCCACCCACCCACCTTCAGCCAGCAGCGTGTCGGCAGCGGTGGGGCACTCAAAAGCGCCGTCCTTGTTGACCCGGCACTGCCTATCTATAGCAGTAATCCGCCGCAGCTCATTCGTGTGTTCCAGCAGCTCCAGCAGCATCTGTCTGAGCGCACCCGCCTTGGACCCCAGCTCCACCAGCGCCTGCTTGCTCAGCCGCAGCTCCTCCAGATTGTCGGCGGTGAGACGGTTGGGGAGGACTTCGAGCAGGGAGAGCACGCGCGGCTCTATGTCCATTAGGGCACTCTCCAGGCGTTGAGTGCGGGAGATGAGGGCTGATTCTACCACCTGGAGGACGGGGGTGGTGGGCGGAGAGGGGAGTGAGAGGGCACGGGGAGGCGAGCAGGAGGTGGGGCGTGAGGTCAGCTCCACCCCACCAGCGCCTGCTTGCTCAGCCGCAGCTCCTCTAGATTGTCCGCCGTGAGGCGGGGCGGTTGGGGAGCACCTCTAGGAGAGACAACACGCGGGGTTGTATGTCCATTAGGGCCGATTCGAGGCGCTGCGTGCGCGATATGAGGGCTGATTCCACCACCTGAGGAGGGAGGGCGGGGTGAGAGGGAGGAGAGGCGGGAGAGAGGGGAGAGGGGGGAGAAGAAGGGGTGTGAGGTGGGGTTAAGGGGGTGGGTGCAGTGCGAGTGGGGTGGGATGGAGGGGAGGGGGAAGAGACTGAATGACTGACGACGAACTGAATGAAAATTGAGAGGACTGACTGACTGACTGACTGACTGACGGACTGATGAACTGACCTCGAGTTCGAAGGGCACAGCAGGTCCTCCACTGATGGACACGTCAGCATCCAGGCGCAGGCGCTCCAGCAGCACCTCCACGAATGACTGCGCTCCCACACTGGCGCACGGGGGCGAGGTGGAGGAGAAGGAGGAGGAGCGGAGAGGAAAGGGAGAAGGAAGGGGGGAAATAGCGAGAAGAGGTTGGGGATGGAGTGTGAGCGGGGGGTGAAGGCATTTTGGAAAGGCGAGAGTGGGAGAGAGGAGAGGAGAGGCGGAGGCAGAGGCAGGGGGCGAAGATGCGGACGGTGTTACAAAGTACTACCAACAACTACTGGTGTTGAATCCTAAGTTGCTGCCACGTATCGAACTCAATGGCACCTAATTGGTGTCCTCTTCCACAGAGGCAGGGGGCGAAGATGCGGACGGTGTGTGCAGTGGGAGGGCGGTAGGGGGAGAGGCAGGGGGGTGGGCGCACCTGTTGTAGTCGAATATGAGGACGGTGTGTGCTGTGGGGATGGCAGGAGGGCGGGAAGGCGGGAGGGCAAGAGGGAGGGAGGCAGGCAGGCAGGCCGCACCTGTTGTAGTCGAATATGAGGACGGTGTGTGCTGTGGAGATGGCTCGCAGCGACCCTAGATTCAGCAGAATGGCGCTGTCCCGCACCTGGTGGGCGCGCAGAGAGGGGTGAGGTGCGGGGGAGAGGCGCGGGGTGAGGTGCGGGGGAAAGGCGCGGGGTGAGGCAGGAGGGTTTGAGGGAAGGGGAGATGAGGGGGGTGAGGGGATGGGGGAGGGTGCAGACACGGTGCAGGGGATGGGGGAGGGTGCAGACACGGTGCAGGGGATGGGGGAGGGTGCAGACACGGTGCAGGGGCGCATGGTTGGGTTGGGGGGGGGGGTAAGGGAGGAGCAGAAGGGTGGAGGTGAGGGAGGGAGGAGAACGCAAGGTGGATGCGGGAATACGGAGGGGGGCGTAAGGCATGGCTGGGATGCGAGAGCGCAGGAGCAGAGCAGCGGCAGTGGGGCTGACGGGTCGGCAGGGAAGAGCAGAGCGAGAGAGAGGGAGAGAAGGAGAGAGGGAGAGAAGGAGAGAGGGAGAGAGGGAGAGAAGGAGAGAGGGAGAGAGGGAGATAGGGAGAGAAGGAGAGAGGGAGAGAAGGAGAGACGGAGAGAAGGAGAGAGGGAGAGAAGGAGAGAGGGAGAGAAGGAGAGAGGGAGAGAGGGAGAGAAGAAGAGAGGGGGAAAGGGAGAGAGGGAGAGAAGGAGAGAGGGAGAGAGGGAGAGAAGGAGAGAGGGAGAGAAGGAGAGACGGAGAGAAGGAGAGAGGGAGAGAAGGAGAGAGGGAGAGAGGGAGAGACGGAGAGAAGGAGAGAGGGAGAGGAGAGAGGGAGAGAAGGAGAGACGGAGAGAGGGAGAGAGGGAGAGAAGGAGAGAGGGAGAGAGGGAGAGAAGGAGAGAGGGAGAGAAGGAGAGAGGGAGAGAAGGAGAGAGGGAGAGGAGGAGAGATGGAGAGGGAGAGAGGGAGAGAAGGAGAGAGGGAGAGAAGGAGAGAGGGAGAGAAGGAGAGAGGGAGAGAAGGAGAGAGGGAGAGAAGGAGAGAGGGAGAGAAGGAGAGAGGGAGAAGAGAGAGGGAGAGAAGGAGAGAGGGAGAGGGCGAGGGGGAGAGGGCGGGTGCAGCACGCACAAGGATGGCGGGCATGGAGTTGGTGACCCACAGCGAGGGGTCAATGCGCCTCACGTCCCGCTGGGTCAGCCCTGTGCCGCGCACACGCACAGACGTGGGGGGGAAGGGGCAGGAGGTAGTTGGGAGGGGAGAGGAGGAAGGGGGGTAGGGGCAGGGGGGAGGGATAAGGGCGTGGTGCGTGGTGTGGGGTGTGCGGGTGTGCAGGTGTGGGTGTGTGGGTGAGCGGCGAGCAGCGAGGTTGGAAGCAACTGCGAATTGCATGCGGTGTCCTTGTGGCGGTGCGTGTGTGCCATGTCCTTTGATGACCATCCCATCCCATCCCATCCCATCCCATCCCATCCCATCCCATCCCACTCCATCGCACCACTGATCTTGAGCAGCTGTCGTCGGCTCACTTCCCGTTGCCACACATCGCCGCGTCCGTTCACCTCCAGCACCTGCCACTCCATGCCGCACAATGCCACACAATGCCTCACAATGCCACACAATGCCACACGTTGCCGAACAATAACGCCATACCACGTGGTACCATCAGCATGAAACCAGGGCCCCATGTGCAAGGGTGCACAGATAAGACAACCGTTCCGGGGGCGGCAAACAGAAAACCATGGGATGGCATGGGATGCTGCCGGTATGTGCTGCTGCGAAACAGTTGAGAGCAACAGCACGAGAGCACGAGAGACGGTTCACAGATTCCCACGCACGCACGCACTCACGCACTCACGCACGCACGCACGCACCCATCCAAGCACGCACGCAAGCGCGCACCTGGTAGACGGGTTCTTTGGCCAGGGTCATCAGCTCCTAGCAGATCTTCACACATTTCCAGTACTGGTCGTGCCGCCGTACCCACCCACCCATCCATCCATCCACGCACCCACCCACCCACCCACCCACGCACGCACGCACGCACCTGGTAGACGGGTTCTTTGGCCAGGGTCATCAGCTCCTGCTGCAGCGCTGGTCGCGTCGCCGCAGCGGACGCCGCCTCCCACCACGTCCGCCCCAGCGCCACCGACCCGCCCGCGCCGCCGCTCCGCTCATCCTCGCCGTCGCGACCGCTGTTGCTGGTGGTGGTGGTGGTGCGGCTGCTGCTACTTACACTGCTAGCTCTCCCGCTGCCACCGCCGCCGCCGCTGCTGCTGCTGCTGCGAGTCGCCTCGCTTTCCTCTGTAGCGGCACTCGCGGCGCCACTCGAGCCGCCGCTGCTGTCAGCTTCGCTCGGGACAACGACTCCCAGCCGCCCATTCACCACCTGCCCGTTCAACTGCCCGGAAACCACCTGATCCTTCGCCTTCTGCTTGCTACTCTGCCCGTTCACAGCCTGCCCTTCCACTGCCCTTCCATCAGCTTTGTGACCGAGCTTCTCGAGCTTCTCGAGCTTTTCAAGCTTTTCAAGCTTCTCCATGACCCGCTTCCCTTCATCGTCGATATGCCAGATCTCGTACTCCTGCGGGCTGTGCCGGTAGTGCGGCTCGTCACCACCACCCGACACCACCTTCTTGATCTCATCTATCACCGGTCGCTCGCTGAAGCCGCCGCCCCCCGTCCCTCCCGAAACGGCGGCCTTGCCTTTCGCCAGGCGGCTTTTCTTCTTGCCCACAGCGCCCCGGGAATGGCCAGCGGAGCCAACAGACGTGGCTGACGTGGCAGGCGCGGTTGACGTGGACGGCGGAGGAGGAGCTGCAGCGGCAGCAGAAGCAGTACCCGCAGCTTGCGCCGAAGAGTCCGGTCCTGGCGGTTCTGCGAATGAGGAGGACGCGGGTGAAGGGCTGACAGTGGCGTTTGCGGCGGCAGACGCGGCGAGATGGAGCGTATCGAGCGTCGCGCGAGGGCTGGGAATGACAACGGAGTGAAACACGCTGTCCTCGTCATCCTCGCCGTCCACGCTGAAAACGCCGCCGTCCGGATACTCGATACTGCCGCGGCTCGGACTAAGCGCCCGGCCTCCGCCGCCAGTTGCGGCGCTGCTAGTGCGCCGCCTTACGCCGGCTTCGCTGGGTCTCGGTCGCCCCCACGTGATCTTGGCGCGCGCGGACCGCCGCCTTGCGGAGTCCGCGGCTCCCGCAATGGCGGAATCACGGCGTGCAGGGGGCGTCGCGCGCTTTCCGCCGTCGTGGCGCGCGGCATGGAGAGCCCAGACGGGTCTAAGGCTCCGAGAACGAGATAACGAACCATCTAGGCTACGGCACGGTTCGTATGTGAGTGCGACGCAACTCCTGCTCGCTAGGCAAGACGCCTCCATTCCAGGAAAAGCCACCAGCGGCAGAGACCAGTATGGCGACGCAGTTCTAGGAGGCAGCGGACGGTTACAGATCAAATAAGGTAACCACCACGTCGAACGGCCGTTGATGATTAAAAACGTCGAGAACGCAAGGTCGGATGATGAGGATGCACAGCCAGTCTTGGAAAGGAAACTTTGGCGGCGGTTCTAGATACATCCGCATGCGTTTCGTCCTGGAAATGAGAAGGGATGGCAAGGCGAAACGAGGCGATGGGCGACGCCTTGGTGATAAGGAAAGGCTAACCTGAACCGTGTAAGGGTGCGTATCTAAAGTTCGGCCAAAGTTCATGTTTTTTAGTCGAATTTTTGCAATTGAACACAGGTCGACCTCTAGTCGACTATCTCGTCATTTCATTGTCGAGTCGCGTGTTCACCTTGACATGGAGCACATGACACAAGAAATGCTCGACTTTCAAAGGTCGAATTTGTACAGTAAAATCCGAGTAACGCGAAGTTTCCTAGGTTACCCTGTCTATACAGTGAAGTTCGTTAGCACTTTCAACTCGGGTAACCTGGCACGACGTGGTTCGTAACCAACACGAATCTCGCAGCTTCTTCGTGCGTGGGCAGAAGAACACACGATTGGAGAAACGTGCTCGGGGATAGTCGAATGCGAGGTCGACCCTAGTTCAGTGTCTTTCTGTTTCAGCAACTTTGAGCTTGGACACATGTTCGTCGTCAATAGATCTGCACGAAACTGACGAAGCTGGTTACCAGCTATTTTTCGAACTTTTTTTCGACACAAGCTCGACCTTTTTTTCGAACTTTTACACCAAAAGACACGCGCCCTAAGGCCGAACAGAACGCACTAGCAGTGCTGTATGCAGTTTTCCGAGCCTGTGTGGTACAGAACTTTTGGACCGGGTACTTTCATACCCCAGGCTCGAAAACTTTTGGCAGGTATGAGGGTCGTTTCAAGATGGCTGGATGCGATAAATCGTGGTTTTGTTCTATACTGAGCAACTCTGCTGTGGTTGTGGTGGTTGTTCAGCTAGTTTGACTGCAACTTTGTGGGCCACGGGCAGCCGCACCCAAATCTTCTTCCCGGGCGAGCTGGAAGGGCCACGAGAGGCTTCCTCTCGCCACGGCAGTTCGCGGGCCTACGTGGCAACCTGAAGCCCACAGAGATTTCTACCAATTGGTATTGCCGCGCCGAGTCATCACCTAGTCACGTCCAATTCGAGATCGTCAAAGCATACTGCACAATGTGATTATATAAACTAAGTTCTCTCACACAAATTGGCTCAATTCAAATTATCATAATGTACATAATTCACTTCACATGAGGCTTCTGCTGCATAACCGTGAGGAGAAACGAGGGTACACATACGTCCTCAATCCCCTAAAATCAAGTGTAAGGATGATAACAAACTATTTGTTTAACCAAGGTGCGCCATTGTAACATGTTCAATCACTTACCGCATTAGTATGCCCAGGCCTGGAACTTCTGTTGAAGACAGCAGCACCAGTGAATGTATATTTACCTCACAAGAAATCAATAAAATTTCAGCCTTTATTGTACATCAGCGTGCATGTCACAACAAAAAGGGGATCACTAAACACATGGCTGTACCCCCTAATCTAACATGGACTGACTGAACGACCGGAAGACCTCGAAGACACAGCAAGCAGATGCTAGAAAAGAGGGTGACAAAAAATAGTGGGCAGCGCTGCAGATGAGAGCAGGAGGGGAATTCACAGTCACGTGGCAAGTGGAATGGGGAGCCGAAACGACGAGCACACTGACAGAAACATTTTTGCTATGCGGTGGCCTGAACTCAACGGAACCAACTAGCAGAGCACTTGACCGTGACCTGTTTTTTGTCTTGGCAAGTAAACTCGCTAAAGCCTCTGTTGAAGCAGACTAGCAGTTGACTAGAAACGAGTAGGTGCCAGGCGCGGACGGACTAAACACTGGAGTGCCAGCGTTCCCATCGGGTGATTGGTAGTTGCAAGCCTGCGATGACAGCAAACGGCAGCGACCTGCAGAGAAAAGACGGGCAGAGGGAAAAATTTAGACACAAACGTTTCTATGCTGTCAGAATGATAAGGAGCACGCGTTGCGAGACTACTCCGCACAACAGCACACGGCATTTCGACAGCGCAAGGCAGCAAGCAGAAACTGCTCACCGAGGCCGTTGGAGCTGCGCTCCCACGTGAAATACTTGACGTCTTCTTGCCACATGCTGGCCGCCGTGTTGTAGCATTCCGTCACCGACACCAGGCCCTTATCCGCCACCAGCGTCGGCCCCGTCGCCGGCGAGTAGCTCTCGTAGATCCGCCCGGCCTGCGCGCCGGGGAAGGTGCTGAGATTGTCCGTGGCGGACGGCGCGGAGCCGGTGCAGGTGAAGGTGGGGCAAGATGTGTTGGCGGCGGGTGGCGGGGTGACGGGAGCGCCGCAGCGCTTGAAGGCGTAGATGTTGATCGACGAGTACACGCGGAACTTGCCGTAGTTTCCGAAGCTGCACTGCGAGTCGTCGAACAGCGCGCAGCGACCTGGGGGAAGGGCAGGCGGAGGGGAGGGGTGAGCGAGTGCGGAGAGAGAAGGGGGAGAAGCAAGGCAATGGGGAGGGGGGAGGAATGGGGCGGGGAAGATGTTTCGTTGGTGGGTAAAGGAAGCTAGGGCAGTCGCGGAAAAATCGTGGGCAGGGAAGTCTCGGTGTGTTGATGAAAGCAATCACAACACGGAAAGGGTGCGTAAGAGCCAGAAACAGACAACGAGGGTACAAGTACTAAGCGAATACTAAGCAGCGGTGAAGCGTACCGTCCGTGGTGTCCTGCTTCTGGTACCAGTGCCAGTAGGCACACCTATCGTTCGCAAGGCACTTGGCGCAGCAGCTCTGGATCGGCATGAACGCGGTATTCGTGTCCTCGGGATTCAGCAGCGTGCCTTGCGGCCCGCTGTCGGTGGCGGACGGGTGAGCGAGATAGCCGCCGAGTTGCACGCCGTTGTAGGTGGCGATGGTTGGGAGGGACTCGGTGGTGGGGCAGGCGAGACACGGGCCTTGACGCTCCGGGCATCTCCTGTACGCCTGAGACGCCGCATCGGCAGATGTACCCAGCAGGAGCATCAATGCAAGGACCGCAAAAAATCTAGACGCCATGGCGGCACGGACGGTGCTGGGGCGTATATGGTTGTTACAACTATGTCGGTCTACGCTGTGTCAGGACTAGATGGTAGAAAAAGAAAGGGTTGTATTTTGTTAAGCAGTTAGGTGTGGGAGTTGGTTCGGCGGAGAGCTATGGCTGCTGGCTGAGGGTGCGTTGGGTGTGCTGTGTGCTGGGCTCGAGGAGAGGCGGAAATAGAATGCTGGCTGTTGGCGATTTTGTACTGAGATGCCCCCCTCCCCGCTCTTAGGATTGGCCACTCTCTTTCCCCCAAGGCAGACTGCCTGCTTGCTGCGCTGCTCTGCTTGTGTTGACTTTCTCTCCTCCAGTCCGACTGTCCCCCATTTCCCATCACCTCCGCTCCGCAACCGCTAGTTTCCGACGCGCGCGAACCCTGGCTGGCTTTCGCGAACTGCCTGGTGTGTGAGTGGGAGGGACGCGACAAGTCTGACGGTCACAACCAGGCCTGTCGATGTTCCTGGGGCCCATACTTGGAGCCCCCAGCTCCTCCCTATCTGACCCTGTATTGGCCGTAGCTGAGTGTTTTGGCGCCCTTAACGGTCACGGGCGCAGGCCGAAGTGGAAACTTGATATCCGGGCTTGCACTTACACTCTCTTAGCTAAGGGAAAGTTCGGCTGCTCCAAAGCTGACTTAGAGAGATCACAAACACGGGATTGGCTAGAAAACGCTAAGGGAAAAATCCCCTTGGCGCGCTCTCGTGCAACCGAGGAGAGAGGGGGGGGGGTGGAGTGGGGGGATCAGGCAGAATTTCTTGGGGGGGGTCCCTAGAACCGGAAATCAAAACTTTGTGGGTGGGGAAGGCCTGTTTGGAGCACTTAACGCATCCGGGATAGGGTCGAACGAAGCACTTAGTCGCACGGGTACAAGGCGGTCCTAACACTTAATGCAGTCGAGCTGGAGCGAAAGTAGCCCGGAATTTCAGGGCATTAAGGGAATATGCCCGTCAATCGGCAGGCCTGGTCACAACTCGACTTTGCTTCGCCGCCATCAGCAGCACCTGTAGACGTGATCTGCACATCTCAGGTGCTGCGACGAACGCGCTGGTCGCTTTGGTGCTCTGCGGTTTCATTGAATCGCCGACCGCTTCGTCGCAGAACAGACGCTGTCGTCAACTACGGCAGTTGCGAAACGGAGAGACTTCGGCACGCACAACGGTGATCGTCCGATCAAATGGTCCAACGGATGCTTGTAATTCGCACGAAGCGCTTTACACTCGTCGCCGTCGCTGACTACCATTGCCGTTTCGCAACCTCGTTGTCGCCAACCTCCCTGCAAGAATGAGTCAAACCCTGCGACAAAGGCTCAGGTGAATTTTCACGGCAACAGTCCCCTGATGCCCACAAATTCGTACATCTCAGGGGAGATGTGAGAATCAACTGTTGGATGGAAGGAAAAGGCAAGAATGGAGGGAGACGTTCGAGCGCCACCAACTTCCCCTCAGACCACCACCTCTAGGGAAAACGACAGAATGACATCACCATACATTTTAGTGACGACAAGGTAAATCAAGAACAGATTTCTTTCTCGACCGCTATATTAGTCTGATTCGTTGTTGCAAACAGTCACCTCTCACTACTTACTACGTCGCCGCATGTAAGGAATATACATCACTTGTAGCGAAATTATGTACGGTACTCTTGTCAAACAGTTACACAAATAATTTAATCCTCAAACCAGCACAATTGTACGGTTTTATTCTGTTAAAAATCTGTTCCAAAATTAGACGAGCATCAGCATTGTTTCAAGCCCATACAAAACACTCTCCTCTCGTAACAGACTAAAACCACGGTCCATAAGTGTTTGCTCATGTTGGTGGTGAGATAGATGATGCGGATGGAGGGATGATGTGAGCTCAAGAGGAAGCATGCGAAACTGGCAAGGATGTGCAGTGGCTGCGGATCATGGGTGGGGGGAACACAACAGGATGATACACTTCAAACAACAGGTAAAGGAGCAAGTACCACGCTTTCATAGATGCAAAAGAAGTGGTACGAGCGCAACAGACTGACAGGTTTATGGGGATGGTTGAAGGTGAGAGAGCGTACGCAGTGAGAGGAACGTTTGAGGAAGCCATCGCAAGAGGTGGTGAAAGCGGGCCACCACAGCAGCAGCACGAGGAGGCAGGGCTACAGATAGTGCAGCAGGCAGCGGTGAAGTCACGGGCAGAAACACGTCTGGATCAAGAGCGGCATCAGGAAAGCACTCTGAAACAACCAACGTGCAACCAGTGACAGCAGCAGTGGCAGGAGCGCCAACGGCAGTGGCAGGGGCAGTGTCGCTGCTGGTGGGGGAATGAGAGGAGGTATGGCTGGCAGGGTCGATGCTGGAGGTGTTACTTGTGGTTCCTGCTTGGCTGCATCAGTGCAGAGACAGAGAAAGGTACAAGGCAGTGTGTGAAGGAGTGAAAACTATGGAAGACAGGTGACGCGAGAAAACACGACCCTAGGAGCAAACAGGAGTGGATGGACTGGAATGGAGTAGAATGAAGTGGAATATAAGGGTAAAGGAGAGGTGGTGGTGAGTGGTGACGGCAGCATGCCTGAGGAACGCAGCAGCATCAGCCAGCAGCGCCACAGAGCGCACTGCTTCCATCTCCCGCTGCTTCGCTGTGCTGCCAGAGGGGCAAGCAGGCAGCATAGCCAACACACACACACACAGGGAGACAAATGGAGTGGGAGGGACATGGCGGGTCAGACACACGACTGATACCTCTCACACACAGTCAATGCTCTCTCTAGCAAGGTTGATGCAGAGAGTATGTCTTCTACCATCTCAGGCCACTGCTGTCACCACAGCACAGTGCACATTTCAGCACACCACATCTGTCTCCCCTGCACCCCTGCACCCATGCACCCATGCACCCGTGCGGTGCACCCGTGCACCCCATAGGTGACTCACAGGTCAGGGCGGAGCAAGCTGGTGAGGTCATGCACCAGAATGGCACACGGCAGAGGGGGGACGACACTTGCACACGCAGCACGCGGGCTCTGAGGAGTTGCACGGGCTGTAGGTGAAGCGGCGGTGGCAGCGGATGGTGCTGCTGCTGCCTCTGGTGATGGTGCTGGTGCTGATGGTGGTGATGGTGCTGGTGATGGTGATGGTGGTGGATGGGAGGGAGAGGGGTGCGGTTGGGGTGAGGCAGCGAGATGCACGGCAGCTGCAAATTGCCTCAACTCTTCTGTAGACTGCACATAGCTGCCAGAGGTGAGGAGGGGGGGAGGAGGAGAAGGACGAAGAACAGGGTAAAACTTGGAAGTAAGCACGGGGTATGTAAGCAGGGGGGAAGGTGCGGACGGGGGAGGAATGCAGAGACGCAGAGGCATGAACCCAGAGAGGGTGACGATGAACAGGAGAAGTGAGGGCGAGAGGCAGGCGAAAGGGGAGAGGGTTACCGCATGTAAATTTGGTGGAGGAGGGGAGACGAGGGTGAGAGGCTCTGCAGGGAGCAGTGGGGAGCACACAGGGGAGACAAGAGACAAGGACATGTACACTGCCGCCTATATCAATGAAAGGACATGTATGCGCCTCATGGGTGGCATGGATGGCACCGATGGCACTGATGGCACCGATGGCACTGATGGCACTGATGGCACCGATGGCACTGATGGCACTGATGGCACTGATGGCACCGATGGCACTGATGGCACCGATGGCACTGATGGCACTGATGGCACCGATGGCACCGATGGCACCGATGGCACCGATGGCACTGATGGCACTGATGGCACTGATGGCACTGATGGCACTGATGGCACTGATGGCACTGATGGCACTGATGGCACTGATGGCACTGATGGCACTGATGGCACTGATGGCACTGATGGCACTGATGGCACTGATGGCACTGATGGCACTGATGGCACTGATGGCACTGATGGCACTGATGGCACTGATGGCACTGATGGCACTGATGGCACTGATGGCACTGATGGCACTGATGGCACTGATGGCACTGATGGCACTGATGGCACTGATGGCACTGATGGCACTGATGGCACTGGTGGCACTGGTGGCACTGATGGCACCGATGGCACCGATGGCACCGATGGCACTGATGGCACTGATGGCACTGATGGCACTGATGGCACTGATGGCACTGATGGCACTGATGGCACTGATGGCACTGATGGCACTGATGGCACTGATGGCACTGATGGCACTGATGGCACTGATGGCACTGATGGCACTGATGGCACTGATGGCACTGATGGCACTGATGGCACTGATGGCACTGATGGCACTGATGGCACTGATGGCACTGATGGCACTGATGGCACTGATGGCACTGATGGCACTGATGGCACTGATGGCACTGATGGCACTGATGGCACTGATGGCACTGATGGCACTGATGGCACTGATGGCACTGATGGCACTGATGGCACTGATGGCACTGATGGCACTGATGGCACTGATGGCACTGATGGCACTGATGGCACTGATGGCACTGATGGCACTGATGGCACTGATGGCACTGATGGCACTGATGGCACTGATGGCACTGATGGCACTGATGGCACTGATGGCACTGATGGCACTGATGGCACTGATGGCACTGATGGCACTGATGGCACTGATGGCACTGATGGCACTGATGGCACTGATGGCACTGATGGCACTGATGGCACTGATGGCACTGATGGCACTGATGGCACTGATGGCACTGGTGGCACTGATGGCACTGATGGCACCGATGGCACCGATGGCACTGATGGCACTGATGGCACTGATGGCACTGATGGCACTGATGGCACTGATGGCACTGATGGCACTGATGGCACTGATGGCACTGATGGCACTGATGGCACTGATGGCACTGATGGCACCGATGGCATGGATGTAAGGGAGTCGATAGACATAGATTCAGTGCCATGCTCACTAGCTTGGGAAGACTGGGCAGGGCAGGGAGAGAGGCAAAGCGAACGCACGGCAGGGAGCAGCGGCGGGTGCGCGTCGAGGGCGCCCGTGCGTGCGATGAAGATGACGGGGCGGTGCGGATGCGCTGCTGCCAGGCGACACGCCAGGCTCAGCAGAACAGACGACAGCCCGCTGCCGTGTACATGGTGCATTGCACACAAGAGCGGGAGAATGGGGTTGGGGGGGGGGAGGGGAGGAGATTAGACGAGGCAGCACGAAATATGGAAGACGAATTGACACGCGAACCTTCCACGGGTACGATGAACATGGAAACAGGAGAGCGGGGGGGAAAGAATAGAAAAAAAGAACAAGAAACAAACAAGCAAACAAACAAAAACGAGACGACCAGGACAGGGCCGCTGAACGCGCCGAGGCGAGGCGGACGGTGAGGATGACTCTCGCTGAGCCAGAGACCTTAGTTGAACAGAAGAAAATAGCAATTTCTGAGGTGACTGAGCAGAACAGTCGCAGCAATTTCCCCCACCTGCTCGAGGGCCCCAGAACCAGGCAGCGATCTGATTGGCCATCGCTCGCCGGGCATCCGCGCGTCTCCGGCGCCGCGGTGAGGCCCTCTCCATCCAGCCGTCCGTTACTAGATTGGCTCAAGCCATCCTCAGCGCGTTGCTGCGACGCGGGAGTGCTTGAAGGAACCGGCGCCGGGAAGAAGAAATCCGACGCGCGCATCGATTAGAGACGGTAGGAAGGGCTGCGAGAGATTAGAGACGCGCGCATCGATTGGTTGTAGTAGATGCTTCGCGACGGATGTGTCCATGATGTCAGTGCGGAACATCAATGGATAGCTTTCTCACTAGAGTGAGGCGCAGGGAAACCAATTTCAAGGTGCTCAGAATGAACCTGTTACTGGCGGATTTGCGGGAGCATAAGAGAAGCGGTGATAAAAAATCTACATGTAATATCGCAATGGTCAACAATATCCACCAGCTACCTTAATTCACAAGACAAACTAGAGAAGCTAAATACAAATCAAGGGTAATATAGCACGCACTACTAGATAATAACATGTGTATGACGCTATATAAATACACTAATTAAACACGAACAATGAGGTTGATTATTGTCTTTAGACGTGCTTGGACAGAGTTGACTGTGAAGCCAACGACCGTAGAGTCGCAGAGAAGGCACTGTGTCTCCCACTCCCCACAGCCGTGCTGACATTGCTACAGGGAGAATGTGATGGGGGTGAAGGCACAGGCAGAGGGCTGGAGGGAACAGGGCGGGCAGGAACAGGCTGGAGCAGGTTACCATGCCCTGTGATGGGTCTCGTCACAGCAGCAGGAGCACCCGCCACTGCTGCCGCCGCCGCCGCCGCTGCTGCTGCTGCTGCAGCGGCGGTGGCGGCAGCAGCGGTGGCGGCGGCGGTGGCAGTGGTGGTGGCGGCAGGGGTTGCAGCTGCGGCAGCTGATTTTGGTCCTGTGGCCGGTGGCGTTACTGGTCCTGTGGGTGCTGGTGCTGCTGGGCTGATCCCGGTGCAGGCAGCACCTTCAGAGACAGTGGCAGCAGCCGGGGTATGCCCAGGTGTTATGGGAGCAAGAGTGGTAAGAGCGGAAAGAGGAGCAGGAGCAGGAGCAGGAGGAGCAAGAGAAGAAGCAGCGGTGGGAGCACATGATAAAACAGCAGCAGCCTTCGGGGACACGATCGAGGGAGGAGGAGAGGCAGGTGGACAACCGGTTGATGGCGGGAGGGGAGAGGCATCTGAGCGAGGGATGGGACTACTGGGAGCAACCTGGTGCGATGGAGGAGGAGGCGGAGGAGAAGAAAGAGGAGCAGGCGGGGGAGGCGGGGGAGGTGGGGGTGGTGGGGGAGGAGGAGCAGAGGGGCTACCCCGTGGTTGTACAGGTGCGAGAGGGGGAGGGCGTATTGGGCCATCCTTGTAGAGGGTGTGCAGCGCACGGGAGAACTCCAGGAAGTAGGCTGAGAAGGCTGTGGTGCGGGGCAGGAACAGTGGGACGAGCGGCACAGGGGATAGAGAGAACAGACAGGTGGTTGGGAAATCGGATGAGTGCCATGTAATGGGGATCTTGAGGCGAATAAGGTCTGCTGTGTGTGGCCAACGGGCATGGGATGGGACACACACGCAGTGACTAACACACGCAACAGAAAGCAGGAAGGGAGGGAGAGAGCACTGCACCTGGGTACTGCCGTCTGACTGCCTCAAACTCTGCTGAGTCCCACGCAGGCAGCCCCCCCAGCCCCTCTCCTGCGCCCCCTGCCACTCCCACTGCACCACCACCCGTGTCCGACACTCCCCCCCCTTCCGCTGACCCTCCTCCACCCCCGTTTCCCCATATCAACCGCTCCTGCTCCCCACCACCCGTTGCCAGCGTACCATCCGCCTCTTGCCGTAGCCCATGCCCTCCCATGAACCCAACTCCCCCTGCCATCGCAGCAGCTGCCGCCGCTGAAGCAGCAGCCGCGGCAGCCGCAGCAGCAGTAGCAGCAGCGTTCCTCGATGTTCCAGCATTCAGGCAGTCACTCTCACAACCAGCAACAGCCGCTCCCCTTCCCGCTTCCCCCCCACCCCCAACCCTAAACCCAACCCCACCACCCCCTCCTACCCCCCCTCCCCTGCTTGCTTCCCCTGCAGCTCTTTCAATTTCTGCAGCCGCCACCGCTGCTGCTATTCCCGCCATTCTAAAGTCTGCCGGATCACCGACGCGTGCGTCAATGTTGCCCTTCCCTCCACCCCCCCTCTTAGCCAGAGCTCTCACTGCGTGTGGACGCAGGACCTCCCTGTGGGAATCATTCCCAGAAGTTTCGCCTGCTGCAGCAGCGGTAGCCGCAGCGGCAGCAGCAGCAGAAGCAGTAGGAGACGCCAAATGGCCAGCAGCCGTGGCTGCTGCTGCTGCTGCGGTCTCAGTCCGCCCGATGCTGCCTGCGTGGTGGCAGCAGCAGCTGCAGCAGCAGCGGCAGCACGAGTGGGGAGATAGCACCTCGTTCCCACTCCCTGCTGCTTCACCCGTTAGCCCATGTCCCATACACCTCCTATGACCCGCACCATCACCACAAACACCACCAGAACCAGCAGTAGCAGCATCAGTAGCAGCACCAGCAGCAGCAGCAGCACACACGCGCATGTCAGCAGCAAGAGTCGGCGTACCATGCACAATGCTGCTGCTGCTCGTTCTGCTCGTGCCACTGTGTGCACTGCACCCACCACCACCACCACCACCACCACCAGCAGCACCAGCAGCAGCAGCATTACTGCCGGCAACAGCAGTAGCAGCAGGTGCAGCGTTTATTGCAGGGGTGTCAGGGGTTGGCAGCGCAAACCCCAACTCAATAGATTCCATACCGTGAGGGTGGGTGGGACCGGAGGGAGCCGCCACTCTGTATCCACAACCCCGACCAATGCCCAGCTCTAGACCAATACCCTCTTCCCCTTCACTCTCCTCCCTCCTCTCACTCTCCTGTCTTCTCCCCCCACTCTCCTCCCTCCTCCCCGCACTCAACTCCACCCCGCCTGTGCTGCTGCTACCGCCCTCCCCTTCCAACTCCTCTCCGCATTCCATCCCACATTGCCCTGCCCCTCCCCCTACCCTTCCCCCTCCCCCTCCCCCTCCCCTTTTCCCATCCCCACCCCCTCCCCTCTCCCCATTCCACCTCAACACTCCACAACCTCCCTCTTTTTCAAGAGCCCCTTCGTCCCCCAACTTCCCCTGTGCCTCCTCCTCCTCCTCGATATCCCCATCCCCCTCTCCTCCTGTCAACACAGCAAACCGCCTACAACTGCGCTCCTGCTCGCCACCACAAACCCACTTCATCCCAGCACGCTCGCCTCTCTCCCATTCCCCAGCAACAACTTGTGCTTCTGCTGCGCCTGCTCCTGCTGAAGCAGCACCCTTCTGAGACACCTCAGGAGTGTTGGTCACTGCTGCTGCCACCGCTGCTCCTGCCTCTGCTGCCGCTGCCTCTGCTGCCGCTGCCTCTGCTGCCGCTGCCTCTGCTGCCGCTGCCTCTGCTGCCGCTGCCTCTGCTGCTGCTGCCTCTGCTGCTGCTGGGGCTAGAACCTCGATTCGAGCACCCAGCAGCATGGCTACTGTCGTCCTCCTGCCCTCAGCCTCGGCCCCACGCATTCTCACTCCACACATTTCGTCTATGCCTTCACCCATCCCTTCACCGTTCCCCTCACCCATCCCCTCACCCATCCCTTCACCCGTTCTTTCACACGTATCTCCGGTTTCCCCTTTCGGCACCTCTACCCACTCTCCTGCCCTTGCACCTGCTGGCCGCTCGCTCACCTCCCTTGACTCGCCACCCTTACACCCGCCTCTCGCATCCAATTCCACTCTCTCCTCTCTCCCCTCGCACCCCTCCCCCCCAGCAGCACCACCGTCCCCTCCCCCTGCCTGCGCCACCTCTCCCTTCCGCCTCTTGCACTGGCGCACCTCATCAACCCGCCCCCCTCGTCTCTCCCCCCGTCCGCGCACCCTCCCCCTGCCTGCGCCATCTGCGCCTGCCCTGCCCTTCCGCCCAGCCCACACCAGCCCGGCACCCAATGGCTCCTCATTCTCCTGCCCCTCTGCTGCGCCCCCTCGCCCCTGCACCCTTGGCCGCAGCTTGCTCACAGAAACACGTTGACGCCTCTGCTGCTGCTGCTGCTGTTGCTGCTGCTGAAGCGTGTCATGTCCCCCTTGCCCGTTCGCCCAGGCTGTTGGACACATGACAAGTGCGCCGTCTGCCTTTTCTCCCGTGCTAGCAGCTGCTGCTGCTTGTGCTTCTGGTGCTGGGGCTGTTAAGGATTCAGCAGCACAAGCAGCAACAGCAGCAGGATTAGGGGCAGGAGCAGCAGCAGCAGCAGCAGCAGCAGCAGGGGCAAGGGAGGACGGTTCAGGTGCTGTTGTGGCAGCACCACGCTCCACACCTGCATGCTGCTCTGACACCTCTCTGCGCCAGTGTGGCTGCTGCATTTGCAGGGCAAGGGGCTGCAGCGGTGAGCGCGGATGCCATGAGGGCGTGGCCTGCTCTAGATTAGGCAGACAGGGACGCGGGTGCGAGGGAGAAGGAGAGACCGTGTTGTCAGTAGTGGAAGGGGCGTTGCAAGCAGCGGGAGCAGCGGGGGCAGCGGGAGGGGCGTTGTGAGGGTGCGATGGGAAGACGAGGAGGCGCGACGCCTTGCACTTTGGCCCGCCTCGCTTGCTCTTGGTCGCTGCTGCGAGTGATGGCAGCGACACATCAGCAGCAGCAGCAGCAGCGGAGTCATCCGGTGGAGGTGCGTCTGTGGGACACTGCAATGGCGCAGAGGCAGCAGCAACACACGTCGCACTGGCAGCGGGAGCGATCTCAGCAGCAGCACCAGCGGCGGCGGTGGCGGCAGCAGCAGAGGAACCAGCTGGGGAAGCAAACGCAGTAGCAGAAGCAGAAGCGGCAGCAGAAGGTGCCAGCACCCCAGGGACAGGCGCGCCTAATGACGGTGAATGAGGAGATGGGGAAGCAGATGGAGAGGAGCATGCGGATGGGGAGCGGGGGATGGGGGATGCGGATGCGGGTGCACCATAGCGCACCATGGGAAGGTCACGAGACGGTGACCACCCGTTGCCACTCCCACCCACCCACACTCCTCTCGACCCCTCCCTTCCTCTCCCGCCTCTCCCTCCTCTCCCTCCTCCACCACCTCCTCTTCCTAACCCTCCTGCTGCCCCTTCCTTCTCTCCAGCAGCAGCAGCAGCAGCAGCCACTGCCTGTGCTGCGGCCCACACTATCCCGCGCGCGCCTCGGCCCCGCCCCACGTCCCTGCACTTACTGCGCGCGCGCCCTGCCTCCCCATCCTCCGCTGCCCGCGCTCGCTTGCGCGCTGAAGGTTGCCGCGGGGGCAGCGACGGTGCTAGGGCCTGGCTTGCGTATGACTGCTGCTGCTGCTGCTGCTGCTGCTGCTGCTGCTGCTGCTGCCGGTCCGGTAGATGTGGCGGTGGTGGCTCTAGCAGTGTGCCGCGGTGCTGGTTTGGATCAATCTCCTTCAACAGCGAGCAGCAGTTTTTGCTGCCTTGTCTCACGCCACTCCTCATAGTCGCCTCACCGCCACCACCAGTGGCATTCGCAGCGGCAGTACCAGCAGGAGCAGCAGCAGGAGCAGCAACAGGAGCAGCAGAAGGAGCAGCAGAAGGAGCAACAGCAGCAAACTCGGACATGAGTTGGCGGGCTGACATGTCTCTGTGGTCTAATACCTTACACATACCTCCCCCAGCGCCTTCTCCTCCTCCTCTGCTTGTTACGCGCCCGCCATCCGCACACTCCCCACCTGCCCCACCAGCATGCAAGCTTGGCATGGGACTGCTGCCGCATGTGGCTGCCTGTGCCGCACCCTGCTCTCTGTCTGTGCCTGTGATAGCATCACCACCACCACCACCAGCAGCAGCAGCAGCAGCAGCAGCAGCAGCGGCGGCAGCAGCAGGTGCAGAGGCAGCAGTAGCAAGCAGTGGTGGTTGTGGAGGAGGTGAGGGCGAGGGGAAGGTGCGGCATACGAGGGGCGATGGAGGCGGTAGGGGTAGAGGCGGGGGCGATGGCGATGGGGGCGTGGGCGTGGGCGGTGGTGCAGCGGGTGTTGAAGCCGCGGGGTGAGCGGGTTGTGATGACACCCCTGCAGCAGATACAGCAGCACACATTGACAGACGAGATGGGAGATAAGAGACATGGGAAAGACGGGAGGCACGGGAAAGGCGGGGCACGGGCATGAGCAGTGACCGCAAGCGCAAAGAGAAGGGGAAAGAAGGGTTTGGACATGCCACGCGAAAAAACCAGCACAGAGACGAGCCAAGGCAGCAACGTAGCCAGGGCGCAGGACGGACGGAGGCAGCGGGGCGGGATGGGGAAGGGCGGGGTGAAGCGCCGAGAAGCGGGGCGAGGCAGGGCGAGGCAAGACTGGACTTGACGTGGCAGGCGTATTGAGAGATCGCTGAGAATATCCCACTCCCCCACTATGTCCACTGCCCCCCGCTGCCCCCCACAGCCCCCCACTGTCCCCGCTGCCCCCACTGCCCCCACTACCTTTCCCCCAGCACGAGCGCCATCCCCCCAGCAGCGAGCGCACCTTGCGCGATGGCGAGCAGGCAGTGTGCGACGCCGGGCGTGCCGAGCCAGCGGTACGTGGGGCGCGCCGAGGGGCTGTTGCTGGGCGCCGCGGGCGGCAGCTTCTCCACGAGGCAGATCGCCGCCAGGATGTTGGCTATGTCATACAGCCGCCGCGCCTTGGCTGGATAGGGGGCAATGGGGGACGGGGGGATGGGAGTGCGTGCATGGGGGAAGGGAGGCGTGTGAAGGCGCTTCTCCACCAGGCAGATCGCCGCCAGGATGTTGGCTACGTCGCACAGCCGCCTCGCCTTGGCTGGGGGGAGGGGGGGGGATGGGGTATGAAGGGGGGCGGGGGGAACGGGAGAGAAAGGGAAAAGGGGTGAATTGAAGGGCGATGGGCGGATGGCTGCCAGGATGTTGGGGGGGTGCGACGGCGTAATGGCGGACGGGGGGACGGGGAGAGAAGGAGAAGGGGGTGAATGCGGGTGAGGCGCAGTGGAAAAGGAAGAGGGGAGGGCGCGTGAAAGAGGTTGGCGGGCCACCTAGACGGGGCCTAGGCTTCAGTAGCAGGGGGCATCGCAGGAGGCAAGATGCATGAGTGCTTGGGGTGTTTCATGAGGAGCAGCAGCAGCAGCAGCAGCAGCAGCAGCAGCAGCAGCAGCAGCAGCAGCAGCAGCAGCAGCAGCAGCAGCAGCAGCAGCAGCAGCAGCAGCAGCAGCAGCAGCAGCAGCAGCAGCAGCAGCAGCAGCAGCAGCAGCAGCAGCAGCAGCAGCAGCAGCAGCAGCAGCAGCAGCAGCAGCAGCAGCAGCAGCAGCAGCAGCAGCAGCAGCAGCAGCAGCAGCAGCAGCAGCAGCAGCAGCAGCAGCAGAAGAAGAAGAAGAAGAAGCAGCAGCGGCAGCAGCAGAGCAGCGACGTACTCTGCAGGTTGTGCGTGTCGCAGGACACCTGCAGCAACGTCTCCACCGCATGGTCCCATGACAGCAGCCGTGCCTGCACCGCACCGCACCGCACCGCACAGCAGCGCACACAAGAGAGGAGGTCAGCGGTCAGGAGTGATTGCAGGAGAGGCGAGAAAGATCAAGACGAGCGCGGGAGGGGTGCGTAGGAGACGAGGAGAGGAGAGGAGGGGAGTGGGGAGGAGGGGAGAGGGGAGGAGGGGAGGGGGGAGGAGGGGAGGGGGTAGGAGGGGAGAGGGGAGCAGGGGAGGGTGGAGCAGGAACAGGAGGGGCGAGAAGAAGCAAGGGGGATGGCCAAAGCGGAGGGGGGGCTTGCCTCGTCGAGCAGAAAGAGCTGCACGAAGCGGTGTGTGAGCGAGCGCAAGGACTTGTCACTGCGGCCCCCTCCTGCCGGCGCTGCTCTCACACAAAGTGGCATACGGTCGGGATGGGGGGGGAAGGGCGGGAACGGGGGGGAACGGGGGGGAACGGGGGGGAACGGGGGGGAACGGGGGAGAACGGGGGAGAGCGGGGGGGAAGGGGGGAGAGATGAATCAACGGGGGAATTGGGAGGCGGAGACGGCAAGGAGGGAGGTGTGCGGATGGAGAGGCAGAGAGAGAAAAACGGGGTTGGTAGGAGAAGTGCGCACAGGAATGATGATGAGTGAGTGCAGCGCGGAGCGGAACAGGGGGGAAAAACGTCAGAGAGAAGGTGACAGAGGGTGAGAGCTGGGCAAGGAGGGCGGCAGGACGGGAGGGCGAGAGGGCGGGAGGGCGGGACGCGGGAGGGCGGGGGGCGCACATGAGAGCGGGGAGGCGGGCAGCGAGTCGTCGTGCTTGAGATGGCTGGGCAGGGGGCTGGAGGCGCGGCCGTTCCGCGTGGGCGTGCACAGCGCGGACGGGGGAAGCATTGCGCCCACGCCCGCGCCCGCGCCACATGCCACAGCAGCACCCGCAGCAGCAGTCATGGCATTACTGCCACCGGGGGCGGCAGCAGCCGCGGATGGCCCGGGGAGGGGCATGGGGGAGAGAGGCGGGTCCATGGGTGCGCGGAGGTGCGCGGGCGAGAAGAGCGACGGGGGGAGGTGACCCGCGCCCGCAGCAGGCGACGCAGGGGGGTACGCCGCAGGGGGGAATGCGGCGGGGGAGAACGGCGCGGGGGGGAACGCGGTGGGGGGAAACGCGGAAGAGGGGAACGCCGCCGGGGGGAAAGCTGCAGGGGGGAAAGCCCCGGGCGGAAGAGTTGCAGGCGCGGATGCGCCTTGCAGGGACGCCAGTGCCTGCGCCTGAGGGGAGCGGGAGAGACGGGGAACGGCGCAGGGCGAACGCGGAGGGGGCGGGTAAGTCATGCGCAGAGAGAGAAGGCGCGCAGCATGGGCGTCACACGGAAGAGAGAAGCGATTGGGTCTCGGAAAGGGCGAACAAGGGGGGGAAAGGGGGGAGCAGGGAAAGGGAGTGGAGAGAGCAAGCAGGAGCAGGTGGGGAAGAGCGCAGGAGTGCGGGAGAGCGCGGGAGCGTGCGGGAGAGATCGGGAGAGAGGGGGAGTGGGGGAGTGGGGGAGTGCGGGGGAGTGCGGGAGAGTGCGGGAGAGTGCGGGAGAGCGGGGGAATGCGGGGGGAAGCGCGGGAGGGAGAGTGGAGCAAGCGCGGGTACCTTGAGGTTGGCGATGGCCTGGGGGAGCACGGAGGCGCCGAGCCAGACGTACTCGTTCTTGCCCTGGCGCTGCACCACGCGAATGCTCTCCAGCACGTTCACTATGTCGTACACCCGCCGCTTGCGCACCCCTGCGACCACACACATGCACGCACACATGCACGCACGCATGCACGCACGCACGCTCACACACATGCACACACACATGCACGCACACATGCACGCACGCATGCACGCACGCACGCTCACACACATGCACGCACACATGCACACACACACACACACACACACACACACACACACACACACACACACACACACACACACACACACACACACACCGCCGCGTTCCGAGGCACGAGGCGCGGAGGGGCGAGGGGAGGGGAGCAGGGGAAGAGGCGAAGAGAGCAAGGAGGCGAGGAAGTGAGACGCAGGGCGGAGTGGTCGAAGGGAGTGCGGTGCGGTGAGGCAAGTGCACGAGGTTGAGAGCATCGAGCAAGACAGGTGGGCGAGGTAGTGACGAGACGGATAGGAGGACGGTGGGGTAAGGCGGGGGAGGGGAAGACGGCGGATTGAAGGAGGGCGGGCGGAAGAAGGTGGCAGAAAGAGGGCGGCCGGAAGGAGGGCGGGGGGAAAGAGGGCGGCCGGAAGGCGGAGGGCGGGCGGGGGGTACGAGGGCGGGGGGTACGCGGACGGGCGGAAAGAGGACGCGCGGGACGCACCAGTGGAGGAGGCGAAGCCCTCGAGAGACACAACCGCCCCTTGGCGCGCGGCGTACGCGCAGAAGAACCTGGCGCGCAGGGCGATGGTCGCAGCGAGATGAGCGCGCGCAAGAGGGAGGTTTGAGAGAACGGAAAGTGAGACGCGGTGAGAGGTGGTGAGAGGTCGCGAAGGGTGGCGAGAGCCAAGGGACGCGAAGTGACAAAAGGACGAGACAGCAGAAGAGGGTGCGGGAGGGGAGGGAAGAAGCACACCGATTGACGGAAAGAAAGGGGGGATGTGTGGACAGGGAGTAAGCTCGAGATCACGCGGCGATCGACAGCAGCGACGAGACGGAGGGGGGGCGGGGGACAGCGAAACAGGGGAGAGTCCGGGACGGGATGACAAAAAGGCAAGAAGGCCGGTAGCTGCTGGGGGACTGGTAGGCTCCGAGGCTCGAAAGGCTCGGAAGCTGGGTGGGAGGAGAAGGAATGAAACGCAAGGTCGGAAACGGGGCTGTAGTGACGAGAAAGACGCGAGTACGGAATGACGAGGCGGAGAGTCAGGTAAGAGTCAAGTACCCACTTGTGACAGAGCGCTGCCAGCGAGTGATCCTTCCGCACGTAGCTCTCCTTGTCTTTCTCCTTCTCCACCTCCTTCTCCTTCCCAACCTCCTTCCCAACCTCCGTCCCAACCTCTTTCTCAACCTCCTCCTCTTCGCGCAACGCCTCCTTCACCTTACTCTTACTGTTCTCCCTGCCACGCGCGTCCCGTCCTATGTCTCTCACGTTCTTCTCTACCTCTCGCAACTGCCCTCTTGACCTCCCCGTAGCCATCGCCTCTCCGCCGGCCTTCACGGGAGTGCGCGCGGGCACCACCGGGGACGCTGCGGGTGCGCCCGCGGGTGGCGCAGCCGAAGCGACCATTGAGGGGAGCTGGCTGCGCGCAGCCGAAGGCGGGGGAGCGGGGAAGGGCTGGAGCGCGCTGAAAAAGTCAGGAGCGCAGAAGAAAAGAACGCGCAACTACTACTGGCTACTGTCGTGTCGATACGCCGAGAGGGAGGCTTCAGCGTGGATTGCGGGGACACCAGCGGCAAGTCGAAAACGACGAGCGCAATTACGCCATGGCCGTGAGTGGGCGAGGGTCGAGAGTCCCGAAGTGGAAAGCACGTCAGGAACTGGAAGCAAGGGTGAATCATGCGCGAGGACGCTTCGCAGAATGAGCGACATGGCCAACATGCGGTGCCTCTTCTCCTGGGGTGCTACCGTTGCCAAGATCGAGATGGCATGGCGAGGCGCAGTTTCTCTCAAACTCGACGAGCCAGCACAGAAAAGAATACAGAATAGAAAAGAAAGATCGAGTTTCTCAGTCAATTCCGATGCGAAAGGCGTTCCAACCAGCTCCAGCAGCTTTCACCAAAGCACGGCAACAGGGGGCGTGCCACTATCCTTCTCGAAGACCACCAGATGTTCCGCGAACAATCAGAGGGTTTCACCACCTGAGGAGAGGAGAGCGAAGGCGAAACGGAAGATGGCGTGCCTCAGTCCGTGGGAGAATGGTGGTTTTACGGTGGTGGTGGTGGTGGTGGTGGTGGTGAGAGGTGGGGTGGGGTAATGGTAGGTTCGAGCCACGAAAAGTCAATGCAGCAACAAATAAGGGCGACGTCAGGTTGTACAACTTTTTGTACGCCCTCTCTGGTAAGTTGCGTTTGAGCACGGTGCAGAGCGGTAATAGCTGAAAAACGCTTTTCACCGTGTTGGACCGTCCTGAACCACGTTTCAGGAACTGTAAGCGCGTGTGAAATGATGTGTAACCTAACGTGAGGTGTGGATGGATGGATGGTAGCAGGATGGTTATGGCATGGGGTGGTTGGAATGGGATGGTTGGTTTGGTTGGGGTATGGCTGGTCCGCTGGGCTTGTTGCAGCACAGTCGAAGTGCGGCCCGGCGCGAGTGACAGAACGCAGACGCTGCTGAGTGGAGTGGAGCACACCAAACTTACCATGAACCATTCCATCCACGGAATTCTCCCCGAAATTTTGGCGGGAGCGAGGGGAGAAATATGGCGCGAGGTAATCTGTACGTCCTCCCGCTCGACGGTTTTTGCGTTGAGCTGGACGGGCAGAACGTAATGTGACGGGCAGGAGGCTGATGTGGATCGTACCGTTGGTTTGAACATGCACACACCATCGCATCGAGATCGAACCGTCAATGGGGAAGCACAAGCACAATAACCAGGGATATCCATCAAAACTTTAATAATTGGCGCAAGCTGGTGGTCTTTGACGTTCCGCCTTTGGGGTGAACCAATGGTCCCGAACCAAAAGTTCAAACCCTAAATTGATCGCTCGTCACCAGAGCAGCGGAAGATGAACCCAGAGGAGTTCACTCCTCCAAGTAGCCTAGATACAGAGTGGTTCTGCGAGTGCTTTAGCTTCACTCTATTTGATTCAAAGACATGGGTTAAAGCAATTATTTGAACACATCCTGGTGTAGTGTGGAATATAAATACAAGCTTGCCATACCACATAGGGTCCACTTGCCTGTATGCCCTATTGCTTTTATGGTACCAATACGGTAGACCCCCCCCCCCCCCCCCCTACCCCAAGCATACAAAATGGATGAGGGGTTGCTACTAGCAGAAACCAAGGGCGCACTCCACCGAATAGAGCAAGGTGGAGGTCACGTGGTCCAACATCTAACCAGATAATCATGTAAGGGTTGATTCAAACGCGAAAATGAAATGAGGTCATCATCCTGCAGAACTGATGTCACATTTAACATCCACTGACAAAACATTTAGTTCTAGCTACATCAAAAAATCCACAACGTGTCCTTGCACAGCAACTAAGCGCACACCATCAATCCACCACAGAAAATGCCACCAGGCAAAGGGCCACTTGCTAGATGATTGACTGTATGCTCGCCTAACGTGACGTTCTCTCCATCCACCACCCCCACCCATACCCACAGCACAGGCATGAACCAGCATAAACCTAACCAGCAAAGACCGGCTAGTGCTGCAACAAGTCTTGCGCCAACCTCCGTTGAGACTGAATGGTGGCCTGGTGAAAGGGGTACACACATTGGGTGGGTGGAAGAACGGCTTAGAAGCACTAAGTAACAGCTCAAACACAGATCAAGTAGCAATGAGAGGAAAACAGACATGCTCCAAAAGCAGGAAAACCAGCACGGTCTGTTACTGCTCCCAGATAGAGTAGGAGAGAACAAAATCGTAAGACCACCACACAGTTTAGCTTTAATAAGCTATGGCTCCAGCAATGTGCCCCTCAAGATACACCCCAGAACTGCCAGTATCCTTACAGCTGCTGCGACAAACCCTGCATCACGCCGCTCACAATCCTCGTTCGTTATATCAAATATAAAGCTTTAGTTGTTATTCATCACATTACAATTCCATGTAAGCCCCCTTAGCTCAATGAAGCTCAGGCAAAAAGGACCAAAACCTGTAGCACCTAGCTAATCAACCGGAATCGAGCAACGGGAGGGATACCACGTAAATCAGGTAAGGCTGCTGGCACACGAGGCCCCAATTTCAAGTTCTCCAATATACCCACCATCACTTACTGACATAGCCCACAACTCCCACTCAACCCATCCCTTCCCATCCCCTTCTCACCTTGAAGCGCGCTTGCGTCTAGTCGAGCTTGACGGACGAGAAGAGGTAATAGACGAAGTAGGCGGACGAGAAGAACCCCACGGCGCCGGTGGCGAGGAAGATCGCGAGCGTCATGAGCACGGAGTAGCACATGAAGATAATCGCCGACAGCGTGCCGTGCATGCGGTGCAGATCCACGATCAGGTAGTTGATCGAGTACAGGAACACGTAAAACGCCACGGCGCCCGACGCGAAGAAGCTGCGCCACCACCAGCGGTAGTCCTCCATCGTCAGCTGCAGGTAAGTGAACACCACGGCCACCTCGGCGCACACCACGATCAGCAGCACAAGCACGATGAACAGGAACCCGAAGCCGTAGTAGATGCGCTGCATCCACATGGACGACATGATGAAGAACAGCTCGATGTACAGCGTGCCGAACGGCAGGATGCCGCCGCCGATGATCAGCAGCCACGGGGAGTAGCTCTGCTCCGGGATCTGGCGCGGGATCTGGTTCGTGCGCACGGGGTACTGCAGGCGATCCGCGCGGAAGCCCGCGCGGGTGCCGGCGATGGTGAGCGGCACGGAGATGACGAACCAGATGAAGAAGAGGTAGAAGTAGAGCGTCAGCGGCACGGCGCCGGTGCTGTCCGTTCCCCACAGGAGGAAGTTCACCAGGGTGAGCACAACGGCGCAGATACCGGGGAAGAAGCACGCCACCTTGAAGGCCAGAACCACCGCTCCCTCCGTGAGCCCGGTAAGGGTCACCCACAGGCGGGCGGCCACGTAACCCGCGGCCGCACCAAGCAGCAGGTACAGGAACACCATGCCCATCAGGAGCGCTCCGCGCGACGCTGGCGACATGAAACCGAGCGCGGCGAAGAAGATGGTAACCGTCGCCATGGCGATGAGCTGCGTGCCGTTGGCGACGACGACGCAGAGAATGCCCGGGTAGTTGGGCGTGCGGAACACGTCTCCCACCACGAGCTTCCACCCGCTCTCGTCCGCCAGCTGCTGCGCCTCCTCTTTGTCCAGCTGCTCGATCTTCGCCAGATCGCGATGCACGGAGCGCAGGAGAATGACGAACACCATGCCGGCGAGGAAGGAGATGACCATTAGCGAGTTGAGAATGGAGAACCAGTGCACCTGGTCGCTGCGCATCTTCAGGTACGCGTCCCATCGGCTAGCCCACTGAATGTCGCTCTTCTCCCACAGCACGTCGAAGGTGAACACGATGGTCTCGCCCGGTGCGATGGGCTGCGGATCGGTCTTAAAGCAGTCCACGGGATCCAGAGCGGTGTAGCGCGGCTTCGACTGATCCGGGACGCGGCGGATGCTGCACGCTGCTGATTCGAATCCAACGACCAGAAATCCTGAGTTCCCCTTCCCTTCGGGAAGACCCTCCTCGGGAAGAACATCCAGCGTGGAATCGCCGATAGACATGCCGGCCAGGCCGGCAGGAGTCTCCTTGTACTCGTGCACGAGAACCTTAAAAAGGATGTGATTGTAGATGTAGTACTGGCCGTTGCTGACGTAGCCGATGGGGAATCCGGTGAGAATGTCACCGGGATTCTCCTCCAGCGCGTACAGGGTCACCGGCAAGTTGTCCAGCAGCAGATTGATATGGTAATGGTCGTCGATGCGCATCTTAAAGTGCTCCACGTCAGATTCGTTCAGAGGGCCGGAATCGCAGACCTTGACGGCTCGCTGCGTGACGAGCATGTTAAACTTGTAAGGCGAGTTCTCGATCATGTCTCCCACCAAAACTTCGCCGAAATTCTCGTCCAGCTTCTGAATACCCTCCTCGGGTCTGCAGAACGGCAGGCTGTAGAAGTTGAAGGGAAGACCGGTCTCGTTAGATGTAAGAGAGTTCACCTTGACGTTGATCACGGAATTCGGAGCATGAGCCTTCGGGTACATTCCAGGTAAGTAGAAGGAATGTGTGGGAGCTGCTAGCAGGGAGGCCGACAGCAACACGCACGCAAGGGCGGCTATCCGCCCTACACTGCTTAGGCGACACATCTTGAGATCTGGAATCCGACAAGCCCCTAACTCCACAGCGGCAGATCAAGCCGCAAGACGAAAATCTCAACAACAGAGACACGCAGCTGCTAAGGAGACTTGGAACTAGAGATCCAGGAACAACGGCCAGATCGATAACCACCAAGCGAGGAGAAGAATCTCCCAGTGGTTAGGGAAATGGGAATTAGATGCAAGAAAAGAGATGGGAGATGTGAACATGGGAGGATAGGGTAGGGTGCACAGAGGAACAAGGGAGGGGGGAAGGGCCGGGCGGAAACAGGAACAATAAGGTGGGCAGGGGAAGGCTGTTGCGGAAGGCGACTGTGGTGGACGCGGACGCGCGGATGGGCTACGAGGGCAAGTGGGATGGCGGAAGGTACCAGATGCCGCGGAGAGGTCCTCTTGGCGCGATCTGGTTGTGGTTGCCCCACCCCAAGGGACGTCTCCCCTGTCAAGCAGTTGGATTGGGGGAACGGCTGAGGGAGAACTGAAACGCGCGCCGATTTGAAGGCGCCAAAGGGAGTGTCAGCGGGGGAATCTCTGGGCTCTCTGAATAGGAGGGAGCTGCACATTCTGGATCTGAAGCAAAGGCACTCTCATTTGGCACCGGAAATGATACACTACCATTCTTAACGTCCTAATGAAAGCATCTTCATCAATGCTAGGTAGTAAACTAGATTGTAGTCCTCGCGAAATATATCCGTGCCAAATTATATTAATCATGTGACGTAAACACATAGCAAACTAGGTTTCACATAGCTTCAGATTGTAGTTTTCATGATTTTGTTTTCAAACCAACCCTGATTTTTCAAGCTGCCCCAAACCAGTGGTCATTCTTACGAATAGTAAAAGATGAAGAGTTAATGTGCACTTTTGACAGTAGCTATCGAAGCACGCAATACCGAATCTGAAGACGAAAAGGGGTTTCCCCTTATATTGTTGATGGCCCTTCCACGTTTTAGGGGTGGAAGCGCTCGTTCATAAATTATTTCTTCCGCCGTGTCACGTGGTTGGGCTTGTCTGGTCCTATTACCAAGCCAACAAGGGCGTGGGAGGGTTGCGAGTATCGTCGGTTATCGGCGCTCGCGAATGAAGAGCGCCCGCTGCACTTCCTGGACAAGTGCGGATCGCTCCGCGATTTGGGGGGGGGGAAGCACTCGTTCCGAGCGTTTCTTCCGCCGGGTCTCGTGTTTGCGCTTGCCTGGGCCTATTACCAAGCAAGTCAGGGCATGGGAGGGAGCAAGCATCATCGGTTATCGGCGCTCGCGAATGAAGAGCGCCCGCTGCACTTCCTACACATGTGCTGATCCTTCCACGTTTTGGGGGTGGAAGCGTTCCTTCCGAGCGTTTTCTTCCGCCGGGTCACGTGGCTGTGCTTGTCTGGGCCTATTACCAAGCTAGGAAGGCCGTGGGAGGGTTGCTAGCATCATCGTTTATCGACGCTCGCGAATTAAGAGCGCCCGCTACACTACCTGCACATGTGCCGATTCGTTCACGTTTTGGGGGTGGAAGCGCTCGTTACAAGCGTTTTCTTCTGCCGGGTCACAAGGCTGCGCTTCTCTGGGCCTATTGCCAAGCCAACAAGGGCGTGGGAGGGATGCGAGCATCATCGGTCATCGACGCTCGTGAATGAAGAGCGACCGCTGTACTTCTTGCACATGTAAAGATCATTCCGCATACCGTCACCCCCCGGATATAAGCGCCACCCTAGGATAAGCGCCTGGCGCTTCTAATTGGCATATGGCGCTTATATCCCCTCCTCGATTATAAGCGCACCCCCTGAAAAAACTAGTTTTATTATAAGCGCACGTAAACTTTAAAATTTGAAATGTGTACAAAACGTTGTAATGATTTTTACTTTAGCAGGCAGATATGTTGCAGATTCGGTTCCCTTCACATTCGGACCCTGCACTGGATGCGGGTCCAGTCAGCAGGAGCTGTCAGGAGCTGGATGTGAGTCAGATTGGGTGTGTCTCCCAGCGCGCGCGAGAATTTCACAGACGACCCCATGTAAATTCGACTCGATTGAAAGGGCAAGCACGAGACCTACAGTTTGGTGTTAAAAAATATAAAAAATATGAATGTCATTTTATAAACGCCGGCGCTTATAACTTTACTCGATTATAAGCCCACCCCCTTGAAAAAACATGTTTTATTATTGCCCCCCATGGGGGTATATCCGGGGGGTGACGGTATTGGGCCTGGAAGCACTCGTTGCGAGCGTTTTTCTTACGCCGAGTAAGGTGGTTGCGCTTATCTGGGCCTATTACCAAGCCAGCAAGGGTGTGGGAGGGTTGCGAGCATCATCGCTCATCGGCGCTCGCGAATGAAGAGCGCCCGCTGCACTTTCTGCAAATGTGCGGATCCTTCCGCGTGTTGGGACAGGAAGCGCTCTTGCCGAGCATTTTTCTTCCGCCGAGTCACGTGGCTGCGCTTATCTGGGCCTATTACCAAGCCAGCAAGGGCGTGGGAGGGTTGCGAGCATCATCAGTCATCGGCGCTCGCGAATGAAGAGCGCCCGCTTCACCTCATGCACGTGTGCGCATCCTTCCGCATTTTGGGGCTGGAAGCGCTCGCTCCGATCGATTTTCTTCCGCCGCGTCACGTGGCTGCGCTAGTCTGGGCCTATTAACAAGCCAGCAAGGGCGTGGGAGGGTTGCGAGCATCATCGGTCATCGGCGCTCGCGAATGAAGAGCGCCCGCTGCACTTCCTGCACATGTGCGGATCCTTCCGCGTTTTGGGGGTGGAAGCCCTTGTTGCGAGCGTTTTTCTTCCGCCAGGTCAGGTGGCTGCGCTTTTCTGGGCCTATTACCAAGCCAAAAAGGGCATGGGAGGGTTGCGAGCATCATCAGTCATCGGCGCTCGCGAATGAAGAGCGCCCGCTGCACTTCCTGCACATGTGCGTATCCTTCTGCGTTTTGGGGGTGGAAGCGCTCGTTCCGAGCGTTTTTCTCCCGCCGGGTGACGTGGCTGCGTTTTCCTGGGCCTATTACCAAGCCAACAAGGGCGTGGGAGGGTTGCGAGCATCATCGGTCATCGGCGCTCGCGAATGAAGAGCGCCCGCTGCACTTCTTGCACATGTGCGGATCCTTCGGCGTTTTGGGGGTGGAAGCGCTCGTTCCGAGCGTTTTTCTTCCACTCGATCACATGGCTATGCTTTTCTTGGCCTATTACCAAGCCAGCAAGGGCGTGGGAGGGTTGCAAGCATCATCGGTCATCGGCACTCGGGAATGAAGAGCGTCCGCTGCACATCCTGCACATGTACGGATCCTTCCGCATTTTGGTGCTCGAAGCGGTCGTTCCGATCGATTTTTTTCCGCCAGGTCACGTGGCTGCGCTTTTTTGGTCCTATTACCAAGCCAGCAAGGGCGTGGGAGGGTTGCCAGCATCATCGGTCATTCGCGCTCGCGAATGGAGAGCACTCGCTGCACTTCCTGCACATCTGCGGATCCTTCCGCTTTTTGAGACTGGAAGCGCTCGTTACGAGCATTTTTCTTCCATCGGATCACACGGATGAGATTGTCTAGGCCTATTACCAAGCCACCAAGGGCGTGAGAGGGTTGCGAGCATCATCGGTCATCGGCGCTCGCGAATGAACAGCGCCCGCTGCACTTCCCGCACTTGTGCGGATCCTTCCTCGTTTTGGGGGTAAAAGCGTTCATTCTGAGCGTTTTTCTTCTGCCGGGTCACATGCTTGTGCTTGTTTGGTCCTATTACCAACCCAGCAAAGGCGTGAGAGAGTTGAGAGCATCATTGGTGATCGGCGCTCACGAATGAAGAGCGCCTGCACTTCCAGCACATGTGCAGACACTTTCGCATTTTGAGGCTAGAAGCTCTCGTTCCGAGCGATATTCTTCCGCTAGGTCACGTGGCTGCGCTTCTCTGGTCCTATTACCAAGCCAGCAAGGGCGTTGGAATGTTGGGAGCATAATCGATCATCGGCGCTTGCAAATGGAGAGCGCGCGAAGCACTTGCTGCACATATGCGGATCCTTCCGCATTTTGGGGCTGGAAGCCCTTGTTCCGAGCGATATTCTTCTGCCAGGTCACGTGGCTGCGCTTGTCTGGTCTTATTACCAAGCCAGCAAGGGCGTTGGAAGGTTGCGAGCATCATCGGTCATCGGCGCTCGCGAATGAAGAGCGCCCGCTGCACATCCTATACATGTGCGGATCCTTCCGCATTTTGGGGCTGGAAGCGCTCGTTCTGAGCTTCCGCTGGGTCACGTGGCTGCGCTTGTTAAGGCCTATTACCAAGCCAGCAAGGGCGTTGAAGGGGTGCGAGCGTCATCGGTCATCGGCGCTTGCGAATGAAGGGCGCACGCTGCACCTCCTTCACATGTGCGAATCCTTCAGCGTGTAGGGATTGGAAGCGCTCGTTCCAAGCGTTTTTCTTCCGCCGGATCACGTGACTACGCTTGTCTGGGCCTATTATCAGGCCAGCAAGGGCGTGGGAGGGTTGCGAGCATCATCGGTCATCGGCGCTCGCGAATGAAGAGCGATCGCTGCACTTCCTTCACATGTGCGGTCCTTCGGCGAGTAGGGACTGAAAGCGCTCGTCCGTGTTGGAATCACTGAACAGGAATGAATGAACTAGCAGTGAAATGAGTACAAGTACCTAACCCTAGAATTGTGTACCCCCTATAGGCTAACCCACTGTAGCCTAAACTAACAGAACATATATAATGTTTGACACACCCCCATAGGCAAAGTGGGGGAGAACTAGGGGTCACAAGACCAGTCAAGGCAAAGCAAGGCAAAACAAGCTCAGGGTGGATCTCAAGGATACCACACAAATTCCGAGCACAAGCAAGTGGTCACAAGACCAGTTCACATGCAGGTTTATAATAGAGCAAAAGGTACAATGATCACAACCTAACAAGAGTAAACATGCAGGTATATATATAGAGATCTCAGTACAAACAGACTCAAGAAGTAAGCAAGTGAGGTCCAGTAGGCACAAGGCGTAGAAGAGTGCAAAAGCGCTGATGGTCACAAGGCTG